AAGAGGAGTAGCTTAAGACGAAAGCATCCCTCTCTACTGACTTTCTCATATCACAAGGATGCTTCGATTTCCACCAATTGAGAAAAATAATTAAATCGAGAATTCCTCAGTTCAATTCTTCCTTTCCATCCCACGTAAAGGAAAGAAAAGATTTCAAACGTAAATTTAACCCTTTAACGATAACAACCATCAAGTTAAATTTGGAGTGTTCTGAAAAAGAAAACGACTATAGACGGAAGTAAAATCATGAAAAATTATGTAAGAAGGTACATATAACATATGGCACTTTCCTAGCTTCTTCCCACGACAGGACATATGCACTCAGCCCATTCATGGAGTCATAATGCCTTATGCTGTCAGCCAGCAAAGCATGTCGTTATCCTATCTATCTCTCCATCTCTGCACTATGTATTAATTGTACTCCAACTCTACTAATTGTCTCTCAGTGGCTTGCAACCTTCTTCTATATTGCTCTGCTTCTTCCAATCTGCCTTCTCTCCACAAAAGTGCCAGCTGACAAAAGAAAAAAGGACAAAAAATCTTCTGGTGGGGATGAAGCTTTTGCATGATTTTCATGTTCTAGAAATGAGCGAAACATTCCTACTTTAAATCAATGGAATGCACTCTGCTCAATCCTGATAAGCTCAACATATCAGAATCGTCTTTTTCTTTTCTCTTTTTTTTTTTTTTCACTTTTCTCTCTCCCAATGTGCTCCATAGACTATAGTTTATACCTTTTAGATGACTGTCATCAACTCTTATCTCTATCAATCAATCTTTAGAAGAAAAAGGTAATCACGGATCATTGAAAATAAATGCATTAGGGTCCAGGGGAGCTGAGAGATATACTTTTCTTCAGTGGAATATTCCATGCCTAAGCATCTTAATTTGGAACTCACTAGCTAATAAACTGTAGTGATTGGGAGGGAGTAAGCATCTTGAGTAAGGGTTACTCCAGTTTAATTCTTAAAAAATACGGTTCAGGAGGAACGTCGTTATTCAAAATTTAATTATGAATACACCAAATGGCAAGAAACAACCAAGAAACGTATGGTTTCTAAGGGCGGCCAACCTGTTGGTCAGGACCACACAAACTAGGATGAAAGGTAGTCAAAGATGGATCTATACTCTTTTGTCATGTCACCATGCACCGACACATTGCTACTTCTTTACTTTGTTTTTTTTTTTAAAAAAAAATGTCTTTTTATGTAGCCAAAAGATTCGATCTCATTATTACAGTAAATTAAGATTGGAGCACAAAGAGATGATAGCGCTATTCATACAGCAATGATAATTACCACATGGCATAAGAGCTAGCTAGCCTTCACGTAGTCCCAAACAAAAAGAAATAGAGAATCTCTTTGGCCAAATCGTGGAACATGTCTTTTCTTTTTTTGAAAAGCTTCCCTTAATTGATATAGTGAGTTGATGGAATCAAAAGGCCATCTGACCTGTAAACAAACGTTGAACATGTCATTGATATGAACACCAGCGATTCCTTTTTGAAGACAATCAAAAGCCGTCTCAATAAACAATATAAGCTCATTATTACTACACTATCATTTGCCCTATTTAATATGACCATAATTTACTAATTTAATTTGAAAGAATTTTTTGTAAATTAAAGTTTCAACAGTAATTTTGTAGATTTTATTTTCAGTAATCTTTCTGTATTATATACAATTAATTATATACAACAATTTTTCAATGTATTGGATAAAAATATTAGTTTATATTATATGAGATACCTTTAAAGAATGATTTTAGAGTGCTGGTTAACAAAACCGAATTTAAAATTAATCTTTGAATGAATTGGTAAATCCAACCTTAACTTAATCCAAAAAAATAATAATCAAATCATGTAAAACAAATTGTTAGGATACAACAGATGAAACGAGTAACTTTACAGGTTGAGGAATGGATTGGTGTTATAAATGTTAGTGAGCAATTAATTAATAATGCATTCCTTCCAACTTCCTACGGCTAGGGGGTGGATAAGATTTCCTTTCATTATAATAATTGCCTACTAGAAGCATTTTTGAGGCCTTTTGTCGAGCTCTAAACCCCATAAATAATGAACATGATGGAAGTTTACATGGAGGGGTTGGTGCAATGCACCTTCTAAATGAAACTTCTTTTTCCTGTTTATTGATTTATGTATATGGTTTCAGGAGGGGAAAAGGAAATAAAATAAAAAAACCAAAAGAATTGGCCATAGCCCAAGTGAAGCAGGTGAACCAGCTATTTGCAGCAGCTGGGAAGTCGTCATCATCATCATCATCAGCTTGCCTCTCACTCTCCCATTGGAAGCCTACAACTGACAAGTCAAAAGTTGACAGAGAGGGAAAGACAAAGAGAGAGAGAGTCCCCCCCAAGCCCACATGGAGAACAATTCCTTCTCCCATGGCAGCTACTTTGATATATTCCATGGAGTGTCCAACTCGTTATCCTACAAAAAGGGTCCCATCATGGCGAAATAAAGCCTCCAAATGCTCACAATGCTCCACCAGCAATAATGCATATTGTTTCTACTGAGTAATGTACGAGCGATGGCTCTCTTGCACTCTTTGTCCATCATCAGTTTATTATATTACAACGTAAAAAGGGGAAATGGATAAGTAGGGATCAAATGCGGGACAAAGTGCGATCGCTTCAACGGCATGGAAATTTTCCGCATCTCATATAAACATAAAATCAAGCTAATAATACATTTATTTTTTGGATATAGTAATTAAATAATCTAATACCTTTAACTTTAAGCTAATAATCAGATAAAGTCGCCATGTCTTTTGCTAGGCAATCATGAAAGTAGACATGTTTTTTCTTGTCACACAATAATTATGGAAAAAAACATTTTGAGGATTTTGCCTTGCAGTGTAGTGGCGCTTAGGCTAATGCAAAGGTCATTCTACAGAAAGATTCTCAGCTATGTTGGTCGGACTTTGGGTCTACTTATATGTACGCTCAAATGAATACACGTGTTTCTTTTTGGTAATATTTGAGAAAATTTAAAGTGAGAAGGGGGTTTGTAACATTTAGACTTTCATTTAAAAAAAAAAGAATAATAATTGTTAGTCATTTTTTAATTTTAAAATAAAATGGATATATTATTGTTCGGATATTAGATTTTATCATAAATTTGATTTTAAAAAAACTAAGTATGTTATATTATATATATTTCACTTTTATACACCTCTATGTTATATATTTTAATCTATCTAAGATTTCTATATATGTGCGTAACATAGTTTTGATTAATGGAATTTGCATCTACATGTAACTATAAAATTTGATTGAGAAAATAATATTAAATAATATAAAATTAAAATATTCAAAAAAATTTGACTTACGGTAAATTTATTCGCAATCGTAAAATTATAATTAAAAAATTGTTATTGTGATTACTTTCGATTTTACGTCTCTGTTGCAATTATTATGATGCCAAACTGGTCTATATGAGTTGGTTAGAATTCCCGATGACATTCTTGGTGGCTGGGTCCGAGTCCGATTTTGCTTGGGTTTTGCCAGAATTTGGGCTTTCCTGGCCCAAATTAACTTTTGGGTTGTAGAAACCCTTTCCATTTCCATTGTAGAGCCCAAAAGAGATTGGGCTATATCTCTCAACCATCTGTGAAAGCTAGCCCAAAACATTTGGGCTTCTAGGAATTCAAAAAAGAAGGGGAAAGAAATTGCAATACGAGTCGCACAATTCGCTTCTTCTCCGATCTCTGCGAGAAAAACTACTTGTGAAACAATATTTCAGCCTCCGCTTTCTTTTCTCGAACTTTCTCTTCTCCCATTTTTTAAATTCGTTTCAATCAAAATCTAAATCAAAATCGTATACTTCCGGGCCTCTTTTGGGTAAAAAAAGCTTTGTTCATCTAAAATAATTGGTTAAATCGAATTCTGATCGGCCATGGTACGTTCGCTCTTTACCCTCTTGTTTAATTTTCTTATCCAAATTTTATTTTACTATCAGTTGCATGAAAATTTTTCTTGTTAATTAAGCTGAATTATTGTCAAAAATTCAAATATATGTGGTTTTTCAATGCTAATTTGGATGTTTTAGCTTGTTTGTAAAAACGTTTAGGTAATTCTGTTTCTTCGGGTCGTTATTAATTTATTTGTTATTGGCAATGATATGGGAGTATTGATAACTCTTTCTGCTACATACCAAGATATGGATGTTACTGTCTTGGACATAACCTTTCAAGTTTCAAGTTAAAACGATCAGCTTCAACTTTTTACTAGCTTTTAGGATCAATATGCATTTGGGATTTTGGTTTTGCAAGCAACCAATGTCATTTGAAAGGATGGTCTACTAGGGTTGGACTCTTATTCTAGGTGGACTTAAAATCCGGATCCTTTCATGTATCAAGTTCAGGTTGCATCGCGCTTCAGTACCTCTATCTATTACTCTTTTTTCTTACTTTGATGTTTTAGGGCATAAACAGTTCATCATAGGATCCCGTAGCTTTTATCTTCTTGAACCATTGCTTTAGCATATTTTTGGCTGTGAGAGATTGGTGAGGAAATGAATTAAATTACTACATAGTATTTTTAACTTTATGTTTTTATTGATTTTATTTTTTAAGAATTTATCTCAATCACAAATGGGTCGAGTTACATTATGGTTTGCTCAGTTGGGGTGCTTAGATTTCCCAAAGAACCAAATTGAGGATTAAAATGAGTACCTTTTAGAATAATTATGTTAGTATAATTAGTGTACGGAGATAAAAAGAGATCATGCAACTCAAGTTCCTTGCTAGTTATAGCTGTAACATTCTGAAATTTAAAGTGATATGAATGTGAGAGAATGTTTTGTAATAAAATGTCGAGATATTTTTTCCAAGCTATGCTGTCTAAGTTGAGGAGATGTAAGCAATATTCCTTCTGATTCTTTGGCCTTATTCTACAAATTTGTGGATTGCTGATAAGGACTGGCCTGTTTGAACTTGAAATTGCTGGAAGGATAACATAGAGGTGAAAAGATCAAAAGACCTTACATTGAGCCATGAAATGCAACTTTTAGATTAAAGAATCTATTCTGGATTAATTTAAACTGTTTACAAGGTTTTATATAGTTTGCCATTAGCTTTGTTGAGCTGTCTTTTGGTTCTTTGGTTTTGGTTCAGTTTAGCGTTGTGCTAGTATCTAGATTTTAAGAATTCTCAGATTTAAAATGCTATTTCTTGCTTGATAAGACTATAGATCACAGAGAGAGAAGGTTGTAATGATGTATGTTGTCACACTTGCATTTTGTTTGAGACTCTTTTACTTTGACGGTATTATCATTCTTTTTCTCTTATCAATATATCCTGCTATGCAGGCTGCAAAGATTCTTGCCAACTTAATTGTAATGGGCTCTGGCATATTGGCTCGTGCTGTTGTTCAGGCATATCGTCAAGCACTTGCAAGTTAGTTCAATATTGCATTACTGTTATTTCATGTGTTTACTTTGCTTGAAAAGTAGGAGCTTGCTTTTATTGATTGTAATGAAGATATGGTCTTAAAAATAGTACAATTGTGCGCTATAATCTTTATATTAGACTCCACATATTGGGAAATAGCTTTGTTTGTTGTTGTGTATTTTGAACTGCACATTGACTTTCTTCAATCATAATGCCTCTTCTATTTGAAATTACGGCAGTTATGGCTCTTGCAGTAATAGAGTTTCGAGGTCAGAATAGTGAAAAGAGACAGGGAGCAACTAGTACAATATGCACCAAGAAAGAGCAGAAAGATAAAAAAGTCGATCCTGGGTTCTATAATTATTTACATTCAACCTAAACATATTTTGCATTCAGCTCCTTTTGCTGACCAGAAATTGGCTAAGAAAGTTTGAATCTCAAAGTTATGAAGGCTAAAGGCATTTCAGGGTTATCACAATTTGAAAATCGGATGAATAAATGTTTTTGAAGTTCTGTCTCTAATCAATTTATTCTTTTGTTTAATTCTGAGCAGAGGTTCTTGTAAAATTTTGGTTTTATGACTTTATGTTTATGCAGTCATGATAATGAGAGCTAATAATTAACTAAATTGGTGCTACTTGTTTTCTACATTTCATATGAATTTATATGGTTCACCAATTTTTCATGCCACCATGTGCCACTTTATATATGAATTCATATTGTCTCTCCCTTCTTTCTGACATATACTGATATACATCTTGTTTGGCAGTGAGCTAGATATTCTAGATGTTGATTTACTCATGGTAAAATCTTGTTGAAAGAAATCCCATGAAGAACATTGGTTTAGTTCCAGAATCGGCATTCTATTGTTAATTGTAACATAATAGCGGCACTGGTGCACCTATACTTAAATGATAAAAAGTCTGCAATTGTATGAGTTGATATCTCTGACTCTTGTGATTGGTTCTCTTCTTTTTAATTGCAACACTGTTACAAGCATGTTAGGGGAGAAATAACAACGGCAATACTATTATATTTATCTAGTGGTGGCTCTTGTGTTTACTTTATATGTGTCAATGTTCTGAGCAATAAGTTTATTACAGATGCTTCAAAATCTGGTGTTGCCCAGGAGACACTACAAAATGCTGCCCGCCGAGCTAGCAAAGTTATGACAGAGCAAGAGGCTAGGCAGATTCTTGGTGTAAGTGAGGAGAGTGCTTGGGAGGAGATAATGAAGGCTAGTACTTTTGGTGTATCTTTTTCGTTTTCTTTTTTTTTTGGGTCTCTGTTACTTTCATCTGGACAAGTTTTAAAACTTCTCCATTACGTTATTTCAGAAATATGACGTTTTATTTGAGAGGAATGCCAAGAACGGGAGCTTCTACCTTCAGTCGAAGGTTCATAAGGCTAAGGAGTGCTTAGAGGCAGCCCATCAAGGCAAAGGGGAGGGCACTCCTAGTTGAGAATTTTTCGAGGTTTGCTCAATGCACATAGAGACACCTGTTTGTATACTAATTCTAGTCTCTGAAGAATGGTCTAAAAGATTTAAATTGTATGCATCGGCTGTTCTATATTTCGCTGCTCCTGGGCTCAAACGTTTATTGAAATTTTGTATCATCGATGCTAAAGTAGTTGAGTGGTTGCAGAAAACTAAAGATTCTTAAATCATCTATGCCGGCAATGTATCTTTATCTAACTGTTTGCAGTTGTTGTGCTGCATGTTAGTTTAATACACAGCACAGATTAGTTGTAATACTAATAAAGAATGTGAGAAATTACTTGTTGGTATATAATAAGTTTCGTTTGATTTAAGTATTCATGCACCCAACTTTTTTCTTCCATAATTTACGAGTAGTCCTTGTGTTGATAATGAAACCATCATGATTATTGGACATGCAATCATCATCCCATTGCATTAAGCTGTCAAAGTAGTACAAGATTCCTACCCAAAAGTCACTTTGTCAGGGCTAAATGGAAAACAAAGTTAAAACAGATACCTAAAGATGTCGTCTGAAGTCAAACTTGCTACAGTTGGTAACTGTTCAAGGGCTGTGGTTAGCATATTAATCCTAGCTAGGTTTAGAATTTGCCTGCTTGTTTCTTTTGGGAAATTAAGAAAAGTTTTCTTTTAAGGGCAAAAGGAAAGAGAAAGACTTTATGCAGCTTTGCCCTCTTCATTATTATGGAACTCCTTTTTGTAGCCAATATTGAGACAATGAAATGCAAACACGACGGTGATTGCTCCCTAACCTTTGTCAGCTTTCTATGCTTTAGTAGCGTCTGTTTCATTCTTTGATCAATCCCTGCAGCAGAAACAAAATATTCCATGTCATATATTTTTCCTGTTTTCTTTTAGACAGAAGAATCTGAAAAGAAGGGCAGAAAGAAAGTGTAGGTTTGCATTCACTTCAAAACTTTGCCGGTGTGCGTACAGATTAGGGCCACCACTGAGAAGTTGGGTAGAAAGGGGCTTTCAAATTTCCCATTTGCATGTTTTCTCTAAAGAGATAAACGTTACATTCTTATAGCAAAATTATTTTTATAAAAATTATTTTTTATTATATTAAATTAAATTTTTATATTTTTATATTAAATTAAATAAAATATTATAAATAATAATTAATTAATTATTATTTAGTTATTTAATGTACGTAATATTAACATGATATATTAACATATCATAATAAATAATGAAAGAACATAATGTTATGGTATTTTTACTTTTCATATGAGTGTCATGTTAGTATTATATGATATGGTTATAATAAATGATAACGCGATATAATGATATGATATTTTTACTCTTCGTATAGGTGTCATGTTAATATCATGTGATCACAACAAATGATGTGATATAATAATATGATATTTTTACTCTTTACATGGTATCATGTTAGTATTATATGATCTAAAATGATAAAATGATATTTTTACTAATAATGATTAGTCAATTTTTAATTACAAAAATTTATTTGACTTAAAATAAAAAAATAAAAATTTTATTTAACATAATAAAAGAAGAAAAATTTATTTAAAACTTTTTAAATAATTGAAAAATTTTCAAATATTATGATATCAAAATTATTTGCCAGTTTACAAAATAATATTAAATTTTAAATTAACTTTGTATCGATTTAATTTTTTTGACTCTTTCTAAAATAAAGTGAATTATTAAAATTTTTTGACAAAAGATATTTGGAGAATACAAATTTCTTTCTCCTTAATGTTCCAAAGTTATACTTATAAACAGTAATTTAATAAATATTTTAAAAAATTGACAGATACGTATATTGACTTGTAATCTGTTCTCTTTTCAATTTTTTTTTTTCATTTAATTATAAGAGGATGCTAGGAATTAGACCAGTAAGCCAACCTTCGATCGACCTACTTATTTTCCTCCCGTCTATTCCTTCTACTCTTTTACTCCCTAACAAATTCTATATTGCAAAGGCACAACTAGTCAAATACTAACCAAAGGTCAACAATAGCTCTCCATTCACAAAAATACAAAACAAAACTCAAAATATAAAGTTACCATTAAATCCAAATAGTTTCATATTTATGGTTAGATTTCAATTACCTGATAACGATATAAAGTCGGAATTAATGCTCTGAATTTTCTTTACAGCCTCTGGTGGTGGTAGGCGGAGGCATATTATTAACAAGGAAAGAAGTGAGGTCGCATTATAAGGGGATGTATAGGCTTCACTCTAATTCAAGTAAACTACGCCTTTTTTTAATAATAGAAAGGCATTCAAAAGAACTTGTAGCCAAGTCTAGGGTTCACTAATTATGCACCTGTCGTCTATTAATGCCTTCCTTCACAACATTGATCTTCCCTTTTTTAATTAGAAAAATTGATACATGTCTTTATTGTCAAGGATCATACAAATTTATAAACCCACGAGTGTTTCCGTTTCTCTAAAAATTTGAAAGCATAACGATATCTTAAATTTTATCTTTTTAATTTAAAAATAAATAATAATCCTTTGATGAAGTATTCATATATATATATATAAACTTTTGCACATTAATTTAAAAGATTAATATTTATTATCATATCAGTCACATGAATATTTATATTTTTCTTTATTTACAAAATTCCGAACGAAGTAAAATCAAATTCTAATGGAAATGATTCCATACAGATGTAACATATAAATTTCATTATTATTTATTTATTTTTTAATTAATAATTTAAAACAAGTAAGGGTGGATTAATGATAATGACGGGTGGGGAAAGAGATTAAAGTGACGAAAAAGCACTCTAAAGCAACTTCCCACTATTATTACAACCTTTCTTCGGGTCATGAGATCCATGAATAAATAATATATAAATAAAAAAAGTTTAATAAGTTAAAATATATAAAAAGAAAAAACAATCCCTCAATTTTCTGCGTGTAAGTTGCGCTGTCTTTTTTATTCCATTTTTTACTTTTCTAAACCCCCGAAAATAAAGAGAGAAAAAAAAAGGAAAAAAAAAAAAAAACACTGCAATACAAACCAAACCAAAACAAAGGTTCTTTCTCTCTCTCTCTCTCTCTTGCTGGTTTGTTAGCGTAATATTTCTTCAAGCACCAAATTTTGCATCGATTTCTTGGGAGAGAGCTCATAGCGCTATTCCTCTCCTTTTCTTTGTTTTTTTTCTCTCTAACAGCGACGATCGATTTCAAAAATTGAAAATCTTTGCCGTTCGGATCTGCGCTTTGAATTTTGATTCGATCAGGTTCAGGTTCCAATCTTTGTTTGGTTTCATCCTCTGTCTTTTTCTCTCTATCAATCAGATCTGATACGTTTTGTTATTTTTTTTAATTTGGAATCTCGTTGGATTTCTCATTTTGTAGATCTAATTTTCATTTCTCAAAATTTAGCTCCATTTGACCTCGTTTTGATTATTTTCCCTGTTTTTTGTTTTAATACGTAATTGTTGTAAACAAAATTACTCTTTTTGATTGAATGGTTAGAGATTTGTTTCTTATTCTCGTAAATGACATGTATATGTGTTTATGGATGTTCTTCCTGCCAAGACTCAATCGTACGATTTGAAGATATAGAGATCTATCGAAATATTTCTCGAAAGTTATAGGATTTTGATCCCAATTAGCTTCTTTTAATGATTAAATTAAATTTCTTCACCAGTTTATGCATTAAATATTTAAATCTGAATTTCGTGTAATTCTAGTTATATGCAAATTTAATTTCATTATATTGGCTGCAGATGATCATTATTTTTTCTTTTGAATTCTTTGACTTTTCTTGGTAACATTCAAGCTTTATCTGTTTCAGCTGAATATGTTTGGATGCATTTAATTTTTTCCTTTGTGCTGTCTTAAACCGGTTCAAGATCTAACCTTTCCTTATTTTCCTTTGATGTGACAGGGCTGCTTCATTCTGAACGCAAGCAACCATGAAGAAGGCCATCGGTCAAACTGTTAGAGACCTGTAAGTGTATTACTAGATACTAATTCCCCTATACCCTCATTGAATTTGTTTTGTATATTTAATAGTATAAAACAATCTCTTGTTAGCAAAATTATTCTAAAAAGACGATGATTGAAATTTTGATTGTTTTTATGCAATTTGTTTTATTCCCGCACCTTGGTGTTTGCTATTACCAGCAGCTAAATGATTTTCTTCTTTGCTGTTGCAGCAAGAGAGAGGTTAATAAGAAGGTGCTTAAAGTTCCTGGAATAGAACAGAAGGTAAGAATATATTTAGAAAATTCACTGCTCATTTGAGTGCATACAAGTGGATTGTTTCATACGTGTTAGATCCATTGTCAGTAGTGGCTAGGAGAATCATGTTGTTTTGGCTGACGGGATCTAATAAACTGTCTAAACATCTTTCTGATTGAGGTGATATGTGAGATATTAAACTACCAGTGATTCTGACTTTGATCCACATTTTAGTTGCAAAAATTGAGGGCCTTTTAATATTATTTATTAAGGTGCTATTGTGATTCTATAATGTTGCATATCCCTGTAATGGCATAGAATTGGAGAGGCCAACAGAGGAAGAAATAGCAGTGCTTAGGGAGGCTGAGTTTTGTGGAAGGTGAAGAAATGGTATGATAAATGAAGTCCAGCATGTGCACATATGCAAATGGAGAATTCTTTGGGCCAGTTGTGAATGGATAATGTTGTTTGTCTGCATTATGGAAAGCAGAAAGGTGTTGATAAGGGGACAAAAATGCTCTTGTTTTCACAAAAACTGGGGAGGAAAAGTGCCAGAACTAAATTAAAGTTAATGAAGTCTTTGAATTAGTAGCTTGATGGGATATTTGTTTTATAAGAGCGGTGGTTTCCTACTGGTAAGATGGCTACATAGAAATGTGTCAACCATGCGCTATAAGGTATGGAGTTGGACTAATAAAGTTTCGACAATTGGCTAATTTGGTTTGGAAGAAGAGTTTGCTAATCTCAACTGTTGAGCATCCTGTGGTGTGTCCTGTCTGTTACAGCTAGTTTGAGCCTTCGAGTGAAAGTTTGGGAGCTCTTACGGACAGGGTACTAAAAGGATTGATTCTTACATTTGCTGAAGGGTCCCAACTTTTGCCGTGTAAATATCTTCTCAAGTTGGATTAAGAGCCATTGATGCTGATTGAACTGAATCTTGATTGCATAAAGCGGTTCCAAAATTTTTTCCTTTTAGTTTTTCTACTTTTGGCAGGGGAGGGGATTGCCATTATTGAATTCTTGAACACCAACTAGCACTATGCAACAACTGCATAGTAACAATACTACTTGTAATACTATTATAAAATTTATTTATCTGCATGAAACAATATTCTTTTCTGTTCCTTTTGTCTTTCAGGTTCTTGATGCTACTAGCAATGAGCCCTGGGGTCCTCATGGATCACTTCTTGCAGATATTGCAATGGCTACAAGAAACTAGTAAGCTTGAGAGAAATTGTGCATTATTGTTATCATTTATTTGTTACAGGAGAATTCATTTATAAAATATCCATGCAGTCATGAATACCAGATGATCATGGCAGTAATCTGGAAACGTGTAAATGACACTGGAAAGAATTGGCGACATGTCTACAAGGTCTGCATTATGTTGAGGGATTAGTTGCATTACTTGTGTTCTCAATCTGTTCTCTCTGTTCCTTTACAAATTTTGTGGAGCTGTTCAAATTTATCCTTTCTCTAAATCTCCATCTTAACATTTCAATGTCCTTTTGTTGTCACGTAGTACATCGTTTTGGTACTATATTTTACTTTTGCTGCATTTTCTCTGCATATATTTACTCTCCTCCATTTTACCGCTACATTAATTGTACCAATGAACTAAGGTATGTGTCTTATTGAGCTCCAGGCTCTGACTGTTCTGGAGTATCTTGTTGCCCATGGATCGGAGCGTGTCATAGATGACATAAGAGAACATGCGTATCAAATATCGGTAATTGCTGTTTTTTTATGCTATTTGACAACTTGTCATGCAGTGTTGATGATACAATCTGCAGCTCACTGTATTTAAATTCTGTGGTCTAATAAAATATTTCTTCTCATGTTACAGACTTTGTCTGATTTTCAATATATTGATTCCAGTGGAAGGGACCAGGGTAACAATGTCCGAAAAAAATCTCAGAGCCTAGTGATCTTAGTAAATGATAAAGAAAGAATAATTGAAGTAAGACAAAAGGCTGCAGCTAACAGGGACAAGTGAGTCAGCTGAAATGCCTTCATGTTTTAATCTCCTTGCTGTGTTCAACTGTCCTTTCTAATAAGTGTTTCATATCACCAGCATTGGCAAAATTTATACTTAATTTTGATTCTATGCAGTTTTCAACATCATATGTAGATGAGCATGCATACTTTCAACTTGATTTCAGCTTGTCAATTACATGCGTGCGTGAGCATGTACATATACACATGCACTTTCCTTTACACTTGGTCAGAGGCATATTTTTTGTGTTATGAAATGGAATAGCTTGTTCCATTGTTTGGTTAGAAAAGTCCAAGTTGTTATTTGGTATATGTTGTGCACATAGCAGTTGAGAGACATCCATGTCTAGGGCATGTCAGTTTTGGTTGGAGGCATCTTTAATATAAAAAGTCTTGTCTTGAGATTAATTACAACTGTTTTTTCCTCCTAAGGTGCTGGTGTATTTACACTGTTCTTGCCATGAATAGGATTCTCTTAGGATTTTTCTTGTTCATCCTTTCACCAGTGGACATCAGATTTTTACTCTTTTATAACAAATCTAGTGTCTTATGGCAGGTTTATGTCTATTGGGCATCTTTCTGATATGTAGCATTGTGGACTATATCTGTCTTCCATTTATAATTTTGAATCTATTTTCTGCAGCTGTGGTCCTATATCCCTATTCTAATAGATAATATAGCTGAAATATGGTGTGAAAATTATCTATAAATAAGTATATATTATATAATATATAATATTGTACCATTTTCTATTTGAGTTCCATTGCTGTTAAGTTCTGATTACATTTCTTGCTCATGATCACTTGACTGCACTTTTCTTGTCCCATAGGTAATGTGTTCATATATTTTGCCTCTGAAATTCCCTTTGGATATGAGAATATAATTGAATGGAAATGTAGAATTCTTCCATAATGTCTAACTGTTTGTTCTACAGGTTTCGAAACACATCAACAGGTGGAATGTATAGGCCAGGTTCAGGGGGATACGGTGACAGATATGATTATGATCGTTATGGAAGGGAAGATGATCAAAATGGTCATGGAAGAGACAGGGAATATGGCTATAGAGATGATGATCGGTATGGCAGATATGGGGATTCAAACAGTCGTGATGGAGATCGTTATGGCAGGGACTATGAAGACCGCTATAGCAGAGATGGTTATAGGGATGATGACTACAGAGGTAGAAGTAGAAGCGTTGATGATTATCAGTATGGCACAAGAAGCAGGAGCTCTGATAGAGACCGTGCTGTTGATGACGATGGTGCATCATCTCGGTATGTTTACTTTTGAGCCCTTTATTACTATGTTCTTTTTGAGCAACATATTAATATTGTTCATCCATTTTTTTAACCTTGTCTCCTTGATTTGTTTGTTGGAACGTTTTATACTTTTTTTTTTTTGGATATTATGAAACATCACCTAATGGAAGGTGTGAATATTTATAGGTACTTTTCCACTAGATTGGAAACTTAAATGGTGCATTTACATCATAACTTTCCATGGAACTTTTTTACCACCATGAGCTTTAGGGTGTCAGTTTGCTGAGTGAAATGTCCAGATTTTGTAGTTGTTTTGCTACTACCCTTTGAATTTTAAGCATGTTGCTCATACCTTCATGGGATGCTTGACTTTGAGAATGTAATTAGCATGATCATCTTCTCTGCAGGGGCAGCGGTGCTAGAGGTGATGAACATTCTCAGGATGAAAGGTAACCCTGATTGGTTGCATTCTCAACTTGTGTTAGTTGATCAGTTGTTATTAGACAAGAATTATTTCTTTCTTGTTACTAAAACTTTTCTGAAAATCATATTTGTGCAGGCGGCTTGAGCGGAAGTTTTCTGAACAAAATATTGGTGCTCCTCCTAGTTATGAAGAAGCAGTTAGTGAATCTCGGAGTCCTGTCCATAGTGAAAGGTATTGTTTTATTCCTTAAATTTTCAGTGGCATGTTGCTTTAAGTTGTGTTTTTCTAGTTGGTGCATACTGAAAAGATCTTTGATGATAGGGATGGAGAAACTTCAGTAGCAGCTGCTCCTAGAGCTTCATCTCCTCCTGCTAGCAACAATCCTAACCAAGCAGCCTCTGATTTTGGTAATTCAATGTCTCCTCCAAATCAAGTGGTGGAGGCTTTTGATGAATTTGATCCACGTGGGTCAGTGTCAGGTACGAATTTCCTTTATAAATTCCATGCTTTGGATGCTTTCAATGCCATTGTCTGGGTGATCATAGTTGTCTTTTATAAGGAATATGGTGCCCTTATTACTTGTCCGATATGAAAATTAGTTGATGCGGTGGTCTCTTTTGACTTGAACAATCACCCTGCAAAATGTAAATTTTTAAGTCATCCAAATATTGAGTTTGATATGCACTGTTGCTTCACATTCCATTTCATTTATTTGTTTCACATGGTAGGTTTTAGTGTATTCTTTTTATCTATAAAATTTATCACATGTTTCTTGCGGAATAGATTTTATCATTTATATATTGATAGTCATTTCCAGGAGCCAAACTTTGCAGTGTGGTTATATACTAGCAATGACTTTAAATTATTGTACCTAACATTATTGGTCAGTCAGCCTTAAAACAGAAAGGTCTGTTTCAGCGACTTTTTTTAATTTTTGCTTTTTGCTCGCTTTCAATGATTACTGGTATCATCTATATAACTGATTGGAGTTTCATGTGATTGTGTGGAATAAAACTCCTAGTTTTGAGGAGCTTAGATTGGATTCTTGTTGATGCTATTATTGTTTATCCATTATGACTGGAACTCATTTTTCATCTTTTGCTGCATCTATTAAAGCTGCCCCTACAACTGCTCCTGCTGCTACAGCCACTCCTGCTACTGCTGTTCCCACTGCTACGATGAGTGCTGAAATAGACTTACTTGGCGTGCTTTCAGATTCATTGGCCATTGTGCCAACCACACCTGCCACCCCTTCTGGTGAGGCAGATGCCCTTGAAAACTCTGGTGCTATACCCACCTTTGCTGCTAATCAGGTAGACATTATTTGTTTAATTGAGGGACTTTTTATAGTCCATATTCCTTGATTCATGTACATGGATTTCATTGCACCTGTTTACAATATGCCTATGGATGGCACCATGAATGTGGATACACTGTTCTAATGTTGCCTTATGTGTTTTCATTTGTTTTAAGTATGTTTAAAAATTTATGTAAAACGGCATGGATAGTTAAGATGAAGCAATTTTGTGGAACGACTGAGTTCACTCTGTGTACTTAATGTAGAAACGGTAACATGAAATGTTTTATGGTGAATTTCAAAAAATATATAGGTAAAATATTTTTTAGTGTTGCATTATTGAATGTTCCTTGGTGTTAATTTTTTTACTAACTGATTATAAGTGTAATCATCTGTCTTCTTTAGCTTTATTTCCTCCCCCCCCCCCTCCTCCTCCACCCATCTCTCTCTCTCTCTTTTACCCCTCTGAAATTTGTCTTTAATTAATTTGTTGCCGTAATTCTATTGTTATGGAATAAGTTAGTTTTGTCCTTGATTCAGGGCTTTGATGATCCATTTGGTGATGGTCCTTTTAAAGCTTTACCTTCAACTGATGCTTCCCCAGCTCAGCAACAAACTTCAACTTCCATGCCTACTTTCCAGCCTACCATGAACCAAAATGTAGAAATTCCTCAGCCACCTTCTGTGAATCCTGAGACAGTTGCAGACTTCAACTTCGGGATTCATTTTCTGCCAATGCTTACTCTCCACCCACTGTCTCCAGTGTTCAATCTCCAGTAAACTCCCGTTTTTGCCTCAAGAACAGTCAACTCCAAATCGGAAAGTGATATATTGGCAGATATCCTTCCACCGTCTGAACATACGGATGGCGTAGCGTCACAGGCAGACTTTTCAGCACCAACTAGTCATTCAGTGCCACCAGTTGCTACATATGGCCAATCAACACAGCCAGGGTTGGCTAATATCTACAGCCAACCTGGACAGCCAAGTGCTAATCCTTATGGTCAACCTGGACAGCCAAGTGCTAATCCCTATGGCCAATCTGTGCAGCCAAGCGCCAATCCATATGGCCAATCTGCACAGCCAAATGCTAGTCTGTATGGCCAATCTGCACAGCCAAATGCTAATCCATATGGCCAACCTGCACAACCAAGTGCTAATACCTATGGCCAACCTGTACAACCCAGTGCTAATCCTTATGGCCAACCCACACAACCAAGTTCAAATAATACATATGGTGATTTTAACCAACAGACAGTGTCTATGCCCCTCAAAGTCCAGGATCTGCTGCACTGAGCAGGAATGGGAGCTTCATCTCTCAGACAGGTTCTAACATTCCTGTCAGTTCACACATGGCTGCCCAACCTCAAAACCCTGCTGGACCCGCTGCACAGTTTAACACTGGAAATTTCCTTTCACAGCAGGGTTCAGTCGTGCCAGTTACTTCACAGATAGCTCAACAAGCCACAAATGCACCAGTTGCACAAAATAACAATGATGTCCTAGGTGGCTTATTCTCACAACCAGGATTAAACACTTCAGTGGTACCACAGACGGGTAGTCCCTCTTCAACAGGAGCACTTGCTATAGTTCCGCAACCATCAAAGGACAAATTTGAGCCTAAGTCAGCAGTTTGGGCTGATACATTGAGTAGAGGACTGGTCAATTTGAATATATCTGGACGTAAGTACTCACTTTTCCCCTAGTAAAAAATGTCATGAAGTCTGTCCCTTTTCGACAAGAATTAACTTTATTTTATTTTCTGTACACAGCTAAAATAAACCCATTGGCTGATATTGGAATTGACTTTGATGCTATCAATCGGAAGGAAAAGAGGATGGAAAAGCCTGCTCCGACTGCAGTGACGTCTACTGTCACCATGGGTAAAGCTATGGGATCTGGGTCTGGGATTGGTCGTGCTGGTGCTGGCGCTCTCAGACTCCCACCAAATCCTATGATGGGTTCTGGCATGGGTATGGGTATGGGTATGGGTATGGGGATGGGGTGGGGGTGGGGATGGGGATGGGATGGGAATGGGAATGAGCGGTGGTCCTGTTGGTGGCATGAGCGTGGGGTTATGGTGGTATGAATCAACAACCTATGGGCATGGGAATGGGGATGAACAACATGGGCATGAATCCAGGCATGGGGATGAATATGGGAATGGGCAAGGAGTCCAAATGCAACCCCAAACTGGAATGCCTGGCAGTTATAACCCTATGATGGGTTCAGGGGGCTATTCTCAACAGCCATATGGTGGTGGTTACCGATGAGATTTGAGTTGCCTCCCCATAAAAATGAGGGAAGTTATTGTATGCTTCTCATATACAGAGTAAAAGAGATTGGAATAGCAAACCCGGTGTCCTCGTCGAATCCCTGAGTCAAAGATGTAATTTTGTAGTCACAATTCTCTTGGCAGTGGCCTGACGCCACCCCATGTTTATTCATTTCTATTATTTCTCATTCTTGCTTAAGCTATTGCACACATTTGGCGCCTCGGGAGTCTTTTGGTTCATTGCTGGTTTGAGCTGTTGTGAAATTGTGTAGCAGTGAGGACGACCTTTCTCAGGTTGCCATTTTCTCATTCGTCCATATAATATATACATATTTTTTCCATCTGTTTTGAGTATTTGTATTATGTCTGGCTACCCTATGAAACAATAAATCTAATCATTCATTTTTTTTCCCATCATTTCGTTTAACGTCAGCAACAGTAGTAATTTCAGTATATTCACAAGGAAGAGGCAAAGGGGTGAACCAGCTGGACATTTTTATCAACATTACCTGTGGCAAAAAGCAAGTTTAATTATGAATGTGATCCAAACCTGGTAATCACAAGTTTGATAGGCTAAGAAGTTTTATATTTTAAGCATCGAAGTTAGCAAGGCATTTCTTGGTTTAAGAGGATGAAGTCATATATTTCTTAGAATTACAGTCACTGTGAAAAACTTCCACATTATAAATGATTAAGCTTCCACCTAACAATGTAAGGTTGAAGATTAGTCTGCAATGGAGAGCATCTTCATGTTTTGTAGTTTCGGTTGAAACCACCTGCGCCAGCTTTGCCAGCGATCAGTTTTTGCCACAACCAAATCAAACCAATATGGTTATGAGGGCAAAGCCTAACAATATATTAGATTTTTGGTAAGGAAGAACTAGCATTTAACTTATATGCAAAGCACCCTACTACAGCTACAAAATATCCCAATTAACACCATAATTTTCCCTTATATAGCCTGTTATGATAGTATCAGGCTGAACAAGAGAAGCAGAACTGTCACAAGAAATGCAAAAAGCTTGATTTTTGTAAAACTCCATGAGAGGAATGCTGCAATGTTCTCGTAACTTCCCCCTTTGATGGTATAAATAAACTATGGTTTGATCAGAGTTTGTATTCTTCAACATGGGCTTGGAGAGAGTAAATGAGTTCTGTGGCCTGGTTCTAACAAAGTAATGTGTAAAAGAAACGAGAACAGACATGGGGACTCTTAAGGAAGCCTTGACCTGGGATTAGTGTTTGTAACACAAATCCAGCGGATCTCCGCTTGCAACCTTCATGATCACATCTCCCAATTTTCAGATATAACAAAAAAACTACCTGTTGAAAAAGAAGCTCAAGCGTCAATAGTAAATATGCCAAGATAGTACAGCCAGGGTATCTGTTGAATAATTCTGACAAAACTATCTATCAAAGCTTCTTAAAGCCTCAAATCATTTTGTGAACATGCAACAACAATGTGGTGATGGTGGAGGTGTTGTTTTTGCCATAATTAGGTGGTATTGTTTAAATTGGATTATTATATAAGCGTTTCTCTTCTATCTGACTCTAGACTTTCAGGCCTAACAACCAATTAGAGCATCTTTGAATTGAAAGATCTCTTTTAAAGAAACCTAAAAGGTACCTTTAACTGTAGACTCTTGAAAGTTCAATTACAATGGGATCACTCAAGAAAGACTTGAATCCTGTCACCCATTGTATCATTAAAATCCAACAACAGCTTCCCCCCTACTTCCTCAGCAGCATCATCCAACAATGCCTTGATGTTTACACCCCCCAAAGCTGTGAAGAAAAGAGATCAAACTCTTCACGGTAATTTTCTCAAGAACTCATCTGAAAAGACAGTAATTGTAAATATGTAAAACAACAATATACCTGGAACAATGTTTGTGACTCCTTCCAAAAACCCAGCCTGTGGAACAAGGGAGAAGGTAAAAGGAAAGATGATAGTCATTTCCATGAAAAGATACTTTATCAGACACGATGATGACACCCAACATGGAATGTTCTAAAACTGATCAGAACAAAGGCCTAATTCAAAGACCATAGCACTGCCATGATAGGTAGTACAGCCTAATATTATTCACATGGAATTCAGATTTACCTGTATGCAAATAATCAGGATATGCGGATGAATTGGTGCTCAAACAATATATCCTTTCCAAAGTTTCAGAAACATATTGGAAATATGTTTTGAAGATCTTTGCAAAAGATGAAACTGGTAACGGTTATACTTATATATACCCAGGCATACCGGGTAACAAATAAGGAGAAGAAAAGCAAATTGCAATGTTATCAATCAGTATCAACAACAGCTTTAGGTGACAAATCAGCATATTTTTAGCATATTGATACATATCATTTCACTATCTGTAGCTATAAATGTGTGTTAAATTCATAGATTGAACAGTATTTCCTTCACATCCTTCGGTAAAAGATCCAACTAAAACATACTTATCAACTAAACACGGTGTATTACAGGATTTTTTTTTCAATTATCAAATTATTTAACTAGTAGAAGAATAACTTTGTAATGGATTAAGATTCACTAAAGTGTTCATGCCAACTAAACAGCTGGGATTATCTAATCCTTCTTGCATGTTACCCAACCCAAAAAAATTTTGACATATAAAAGCAGCGCTTAATTGCAGGAAATTATGATTGTGGTTATGGCATGTTTAGTTTGAATCATAAACCGGCACTTTTAAGGTCAACAGAAAGAAAAGCAACCTAATTAACAGGGTATCTATCCTCAAAGCAGAAGACTTACAGGAATTCTAACATCAAGTTTCTCAAATCCATCTCTTCCAGTAATCTTGATTCTCAACGTCCGAGACCATATCCCAGAAAAAGGACCCCTTGAACCATCTGCACCATAGTTATTGTATACATCAGGAGTTATCACCTCAACAACTGGATCTTGAGGACTTTGACCTCTTTGTTCTGAGTCATCTTGAACCCTTTGTATACTGTATGCATTACTGCTCACTGACACATAAACCATGTTTTTTGGATTAGGAAGACAAGACAACAATTTTACATTATTCTCAAAAATGACTGTGGGCTTAATTTGGGAGACAGAATTGGCCACCCTGAACCAAGAATTTAGTTAAAATTAGGTAAAACCACAACTCATAGCATCAAAGAAGGTAGAACAAGTACAAAAGCCTATAGCCCATTTTTGTTTTTAATTTTTTTTTTAAAAAATAAAAGAACAAGTTCTGAATGAAAGTTTTATAGGCTATAAAACCGATTCTGGTCACTGCAAGCTCAATGATATTAGAAAAAAGAACAAACTTCACACGAAAGATGGGAGAGACTGAAGCATGATGGACATTTTGCTCAAGAAAGGAGTTTTCAGTTAAGTTTAGAGAACTAAATCTCACCCACCTCTGTCTGAATATAGCTGATAGCTGCTGGTAGCATATCTTTTTTCTTCCTCATAGTAATTATTGAAACCTAAGATTTCCTTGATTTCGTCAAAAGATGGCATGCTTCCAGGAGGGGGGATACGACCTCCTTTCAGGGCAGTTAGTGAATCCTGCAAATTTATAGAGGTTGACATTTGAGAACCAACATTGCATTAACAATCTCATTGTGAAAGCATGTGAAGTGTTGCTAAATATCCATATTGTGGGCATCACAACATTAGACCTTAAAATTTTCCAGGTTTGAAATAATGGCAATATTCAGACTAGAATTCAAAATCATACATTAAAGCAGTACTTAAAGTGCCAAGAACAGTAATATCTTTTTCATATGAAAATGTAGAAGTTTCACATTCACGGACATCAAGTAAAGACCAAAAGACAAACTGAATTAGGTTTCAAGGCACCTTGAACTAAAAATGCAGTTTAGCATATATTATTAGATGGTGAAAATTATAAAACCCCTTGAAAACACCACTAAATGGTGTTTTGAAGTGATATAGTCATCTTTTTCTCCCCTTCTTTCTGACTAAAGAAAAATATATCTCCCTCAGGTCTATCACCGGTCTCCATCAATCTTAAAGGCTTCTCTTTGACTTTTTAGTGGTATTAAGCGAAAGTACACACATTTGTTTCACATCAGCCTGCTAATTCAAATTACCTTTAGCTTTCAGCCCTTTGCATTACTTTTTTCACCAATATTTCTTCTGAATTTTTTTGAATGAGGGTTTAGCCTCCTTAGAGTGAAGATATTGGCTCTAACTAAAACTAACATATGTTAATTCAACTTATCTCAAATTGTCAGCTTACACCAGCAACATAGCTACAGATATTAACTAGCAACTGTAGATTCAACTTGAGTTAAAAATTATCAAAATACTGCATCAATATGTCAAATCTTGCACCAAGAATATCATTACAATGCATGCTTGGTTAAGCTTAAAACAAAATCAATTCTATTTAATATCAGAAGACAATAAGCTCATCTTCATATTATCAAAATACCCCAACACAGTGACTGCATCGTAAAATAATATAAGAGTCAGATCATGCTATACAACTGCTTGTGTTTCTCCATAATCTGTGCAATGGCAAGAATCAAACCATAGCATTTGGTTTTCTTTTTGGTAGTTAAGCACACCGCATCATGTCAGATAGGTGTCAAAAGTGTGACAAGTGAGCTTTCATACATATCAAGTGAAGAAAATGAAGATATTAACCTGCATTGCTCGTATAGATACCCCAATCAAGGAAAGTGGATATGCTACAAGTTTATATCCAATTTCCTCAAGTTCAAGCGGATTGAATATTGGTGTTTTCCCCCCACCTTCAAGCATATTAGCCTACACCGGAGCATAAAAGCTACATAAGTCATAGATGATGATTGAGAATTGTCTGGGAAGGAAGCAGAGTACAAGTGCCTGTCCCAGCAAGTTTGAGATATAGAATAAAGATGGGAAAATTCTCATACAGCAGATCCCATGCTAAAGACAAATTCCCTATATATACATGTTGGAAAGCCAATCAAGAAGTTTAAATTTTCAAATAAGTAAGCAACAGGAGAAAGCTACTGGCCTACTGCTGAATAAATATTATGTTTCCTCTGAATTCTGTTGTATATGCAACAAACTGTGTGTGTGTGTGAGATTTTGCAGGAGGGGTGAGAGTTGCTACAATCAAGCAATATAGTGTATAAGATGCTTATTACTTGGTATTACATAAGGAACATACCATACCATTTTTGGAACTAATGGAGAAACTTCACAGAAGGCCTTCATCTCTTCTTTAGAAGCTAGAGCATCAATAAAAAGGACATCTGCTCCAGCATCAGCAAAAGCCCTTGATCTCCAAAGTGACTCCTCTAAAGACAGTGCTTGACGAGAATCTGTTCGTGCCACAATAACAATGTCAGAACCACTCTCTTTGCGAGCATCAACAGCTGCTTTAATTCTCATCACAGCTTCCTCTCTGGACACCACCTTCCTGCCTTGTGTATGACCACAAGCTTTTGGAGACACCTGGCAGTTAAGTTTTATCAAGAATCAGAGCCTCAAAACAGGAACAAAAACAAATAAGTATTTCTAAAACTAAACTGGAAGGTTAGACTATAAAAGAAATGGCTTAGGGTAACATAAACATTGTTTACAGCACAGCACTGCCGGTGTTATGCCAATATAATCGCTTTTCATTGATGTGACTAGTTTCTTTCATGATAGTAGGTTTTCAAGCCTTCAGTAAGATTTCCAGAGGGCATCTTCTATATAGCGTAGTTCTGTTAATTTATTCTCAAAGGTTGAAATTAACTCATAGATTTATGTTAGAGGAAGCCTATAAGTTTTCAGCTGACTTCCTCTTATCAATTAAAATTTACTTATTGCAGACAAATAAGGAATACAATTTATATCTTCAAATCTTACTTTCAACATATCAATACAAAAGACCATGTCATGACTAGCCTTAGCAGCAGAAAATAACAAAAATTTCAAAAGCTCAGCTGTGGAGCTTGCAGTGCTATTCCTAAAACCTACTACACTACTTATCCAGTTCACATGCATGGGCCATAAATATAGAAAACACAACAAGGTCCTTGAGACGGAGCTAATATGTTACTCTACATGCTCAGAACTCATCTATCTAAGATTTAGAACCCATTAGCATGACTCCTAACTAAATTAATCTAAAAACAGGAGCTATAGAGTTGGAAAACACCTGGGAGACAACCAGAGAGAGGGAGAGGGGAGAGAGGACAAAGTAAAAGATGAATGATTGAAAAGGTTTACCAGCAACAAAATTATTTCAAGAGCCAAAAATTTTTCAACAGAACATGAACCTGATCTTCAAGAATGATCCCTGCAAAGCCTGCTCTTATATATCCTTTAACAGTTCTCTTGACATTCATTGCATTTCCATATCCATTATCACCATCCCCAATGACAGGAATTGAGACTGCCTGGGTGATTTGTTGCCCCTGATCCACCATTTCACCATAGGAAATAAATCCTGTGTCTGGTAATCCCAGGCGAGCAGCAGAAATGGAAAATCCTAATGATGGCAGCAAACAGTGTTAATGCACATATCATCTTGAAACAGTTGAGCAATGAGACAGAGAAAGTCTTTTAACAAATAATTTGTCTAATAATACACATTTAGATTTTGATACTGGAAATGTATCAGACATATGTAAAGGATGATTCAAAAGAAACAAAATATTAGTGTTGTACAAATCAAACCCACATGTAAGAAGAACAAAAGCATCAAAACTGCAGTAATTACTAATTTATTATAAGAACCATATGAATTTTCAATACAAACATTTATGATGCTCAAAAATAAATGCAATGGAACTAATATCTGGCTTCTGGAGATACAAAGAAACAAAAAAAAAATGTAAACCAAATTGCCTTGGATAAAGAAATAATCAGCATTTAGCGCTAAAATTCGCAAATTCAGAGCGTTCTTCCAGATTGAATTTAAATGTAACCCATCAACCAGAAAATTAAAATAAAACTACAAGCACAAATAACTCCAATATTATATAACCAGCTTAAGCATCGAAACTTATATAGTTATCGATCATACAAACTAAGACGGTGTCTTGGGGTTATGAAATCAATGCAAAAACTGCACAAACCACCAAAATAGAAAAAAACCCATATCACAAACTCCAGCAGTTTAATGACCACTATACAGAAAAGATTGGACTTTATATATATCCAGCAACTCCAACTCAGAAAACCCACATCTTGAAATTCTTGTATAAATGAAAAGATTGGAATAAACAAAGAAAGAGAGCAGATACCGCTGGTGAAACAATACTGAAAGTCAGCTCTTTCAACAAGCTTAGCACTGAGACCATCAAAACAAGCAGGGCCTTGATGAACCCCTGGCAATTCCAGAATCTGTCTAAGTGCCTTTGCAGGTGGATTCCTCTCTCCAAAACAAGCTCTGATGGCTTGGAACCGCTTAGAAGCAGTAAAGAGAGTGTTGGGCTTTGGTTTTCTAGTTTGGTTATTGATGGGCGCTATAATGGAGCCATTTTTAAACTTCGCAAGTGGAAAAGTGTGAGCTTGTGAGAGAGGATGGTTGAGAAAAGAGAGAGATTGGTCCCTGCTAGCTACTACTGCTGAAGATGGGTTCATGCTGGAAGCTTAGGTTCCCTCCCTCTTTGCTTCTTCTTTCGGTGACCCTTGTTTAGGCTATTATCAAGAAATTTTTTTTTTTCAATTTGATCAAAGAAAGGAAAAAGAACAAAGAGAGAAAAGGGCAACGAGCTTTCGTCTTGTTGTAAGATGTAACCAAGAAAGAAAAAGTGAATGTGATTCTAGTTTCAACCTAACTGACAACGAAAAAATTACATTTGTCAACTTACGAGGTTGTTCATGTTTATTAGTGTTGGGCTGTCTGTCTGCTTGTATGAAAGAAACACTAGTAAACAATATGATATTTTTAAAAATAACTTTTAAGGATAAAATATTTTTAAAAATAACACTTTTTATAATTTTAATTATTTTTAATTTAATTAAATAAAATTATTTTTAATAAAATTACATATTATGATGTTATACATTATATATAAAAACATGTTATGGTTAAGTCGTTACATGTTATGTATAAAAACATGTGACACGTAATGATTAGGTTATTACACGTCATGTACAAAAACATGTTACACATGTACAAAAATATGTGACACGTCATGATTAGGTTATTATACGTTATAGTTAAATTGTTATACGCTATGTATAAAAACATGTGATACGTCATGATTAAGTTATTATATGTCATGTACAAAAACATATGACATGCTGTTGTTACATGTTATGGTAAGTTGTTACACGTTATGTATAAAAAATAAGTAATACACTTTGGTTTGGTTATTACACGTTATATTAAAAAAATATTATTATTACATACTATGTTAAAAAAATATTATTATTATATATCATATTTAAAAATATTTTTTTACATTTTAATATGTAAACTATTATTGTTACTTACAAATCAAAACTTCAAATATTTTCAACTCTTTTTATTTTTTTATTTTCTTTTTGACAATTTGACACCGATTAAAGTGTTTTTAACATATTTTCATAAATCAAAACATAAATTTTCTTATCTAAAATATCTATTTCAACTAAAAATTAAAAAAAATTTCTTTTAATCTAGGTTTATAAATTTCAAAATTTTGAGTTTATTAGTATGTAGGTCTCGAATTGATCCAATTAAAAACTATTTTAAACATTTTTGATCATTTTTATCATTTTAGTTTTATCTAAAATACCTAAATATCAAATTTTTTAAATAACCATCCATCCCAGCACATCAAAACTGTCGCTTAGTGTCTTGAAAAAGTAGGAAAAAGAAATATAAAAGTACCGGAGAGAGAAATCAAGAGTATAGTAGACAAAATCGATAAAATTAGAGAGAGTGAGATGATGAAAGAGAAAAAACGAAAGCACAAATGAGGAGAAATTTTGATGAATGGTTTAATTTATTTAAAATAATTTCAATATTATTTTTGTAAAGTCATAGTTAAATATGATTAAAAAAAATTAAATTATTTTGATGGTTATTTTTTAAATGCTTTTATCAAGAAAAGTTATTTATCATAATTGCTTCTAAATAATACTTTTGTTGTTTTAAAGTTAAAAGGAAATAACTAAATAATTTTTATCATTGTTTAGATAAATGTTAAAAAAAGCAAAAATATTATAATTTTCTAAACAACATAAAAAGAGAGAATAAGTAGAAATAATTAACCTATTAATAATTTTTCAGAAGAACAAAAATAGCATAAACTAATTAATCATATGCTTTTGTATTGATATGATTTTTGAGTTTTATGTATTTTTTTTCAATTTAATAGACTTAGATTAAACTTCTTCACAGGTTTGAATTATGGCTTCTTTATTATCTTTTATAATTTTAGAATTAGAACTTATTTTTCTTCAAAAAGAATTGAACTTATTTAGGAAATTATGATAAAAATTTTGAAAACTTTAACATGTAATGAAGTAAAATAAAAATTTTAATCTTCATCTTCCAAAGTTCAAATATTATGACTGAAATAAATATATATATATATAGCAATGCCATTAATTTTAAATTATGTTGTCAAGTAAAAGTTAAAATAAGAGACAAAATAACTTGGTGGTTCTTGAACCTCCAACTGCAAGAATACTTGTAAAATCTTTTCAATCATGCCATGTTAATTAGTGAAACTAATAATTTTATAATGTTCACCCTGTTTTATACATACTATGCAAGTTCATCATCAATTCAGCAAATTTGATGAGAAAGACAGAACCCAAAACCCTAAACCTTCTTCCTGTTCAAAGAATAAGAATAAAAAGTTTTGAGTTCAAATACCAAGTAGTATTTTGAAAGTTGACCAATCACCCCTTGTATAATCCATGCATATCCAATCATTTTCCCAACCCCATTCTCAGGTGACAGGCAAATCAAATGATGGTCTCAACCAAAGAAACCAAAGCATCCATAAGTAACAACTACATTGAGAAGAGCAATTTGTTTGGCAACTAATATATTAGTTTAGAGAATCAGATGAAATCATTTCATTTCTTAAAAACTCAACAAGTCATACATTTAAACAATACAACATATACCAAGTTTATTGTCATCTTCATACAAGTACAACCACACTGTCAAATTAAAGGGAAATTTTAGACTGATCATAAAATGCAATCCAAGCCTCACACATTCTAAGTTCAGATGCCTACATTGCATTTAAACTTATAATTGAAAAATAAGTTACAACTACAAAAACAACAAGCATTACAGGTAACAAAGTATGGACCATACTCTGCTTATGCTTTCCTGCAAATGAAGTGGAAGTTTTCACGTATTTTGACCAATAAGACCTCCATCTAGGTTTGTCTCGGGAAGTGAAATTGCCACCCTAAATCATATGGTGCTATACATCTCCAGTGGACAATATAGTTGCATCCAGAAGTAACACATTCGAGAGCCAAATCTTGACAAGGCTCACCACATTCAATGCATTTAGGGTAGTAATAAATCTTATTCACAAAGGTGAGAGGATGTGGATGATCTCCTTCTGTGTAGATACTCCCAAGTTTGATATATTGATAGCTTTCAAGAACACAACTTTTATGAGCAGAAGTGTCACAAATTGCACAATGATAAAACCAATCATTTGAATCTCTTTTCTCTTCACAAATGTCACAATAATGACATTTTGAATAATCATGATCATCTTTATAAGTGAGTGCAAGAACATGTTCATCGCTTTTGTGTCGAGTTGTAGTTGGTAGTCTAACACATATCCTGCATAAAGCGAAATTGCAACCCTTACAAAAGTATCCGGCGCCATCGATGTCTTCACCACAACCACAACACTTCTCTTTGACCTCGACATAAAAAAGGAGGGGGTGTTGATGTCCTTGAGATGTTAAAGTATCAGGAGTTAGAGTTACACATCGAAGGCATACATGATCGTCACATTCATTACATTTATAGGCAAAGCCATTAGATAGGTGATCACATAGATGACATCTAAAAATGCAGCCTGAAGTAAGGATGAGAACACTTTGCTGGCAATAATGAAACCAAACGTGCTTCATCTTAGGTAATTCAGCACAGGCTTTATGAAGAAAGAAATCACACTCTAAACAATAGTAAAAGGAAGCTGAGATAGGTAACATGCACCCCTCGCAACATTGATCATACTCCGCAATTTTCTCACTTAACATCAACTCATGCATATGCTTGAAATGTTTTATTTTTGTGGCTTCTCCTGCTTCATTCCTCTCAATAACACAAGTGATGGAGTCAATAGATTCACCAGGCAAAAGTGCCACAGATTTCCCATCTTCATTTTCGGGTGAAACTATATAATACCAGGTTTCATCTTGTGTCGCGCAATTCACATGGGCAATAATTTTGCAATCTGAACAATAGTAACTGCCTTGCTCTGCATTGACCCCATCGTGACAAATTATGCAATCCCCATCCTTAAAATCTTCATCATGAAGGAAGTATGTGTGAAAAATATGGTGGTGATGCCACCTGCTTTTGATGATGCGTGGCAATGAAATGCATTTTTTATGTACTATAATATTGCATGTAGTACATATGTAGGCAACATAATTTCCTTCAGTGCCACATGCATCACAAATGAAGGGGGCTTGTCTCCAAAACAAGGTGAATGGGTGTTGATGACTTTTATCCTCAACGATGGGCAGGGATGACATACACCCAATGTGAAAAGCAACATTACATGGCAAACAACAATAAACAAATCCTCTTTGTTGGGTTTTTTGGCATATGTTGCAAGAAAACCTTTCAGTATCGAATTGTAGAACAAGAGGATGTTTGCGGTGACACATATGATTGATTTTGAGAGGTAATTCAGCACATTTTTTATGGAGATGGAATCCACAATCAAGAGAAAAGTAGGTAGAACTTTGCAACGGTTCCCAACACCCGAAACACTGAAAACGTTCAAGTTCTTCACCATCATTTCCGGTGGAAACCAATGGATCTTCAAGAGCAACATGCTGAAGCTCTTCAAAATTTTTTTGAGCAATGTTATATGTAAATAAAGCACATGTGATGTGAAAGTCTAATCCACAAGAGCAATGATAAATGAAGGCCTTACATGTCTTACTACAAAAATTGCAAATGCAGTGTACTCCTTGAGCATAAGGTGGGTATTGCAGGAGGAGAAGAGGATGGTTGCGATGAAAAGGGTGATTGATCTCCGAGGGTGCCTCACCACATTTTTTATGGAGGTGAAACCCACACTCCACACAGCTGAAACTTGGAGCTGACAGTGACACCTCCTCCCCACACCTTGAGCAGTAAGCTTCTTCACTTTGATTGCTCTGCTTTTCATTAAACACCAGTGGATGTTGGTGCCCAAAATTTTCAGACTCACTCATCTCTCTTTCCGCTTCTGACCTCTACCACAATAGGTTTCAAAAGGAAAGGAGGATTTTGGCTATAACAAAGAAAGATGTAATAAGGAGAATGCTTATAAAATGAATAGAGTGTAGTCTTCCTAATGCTAATGCCCTATTCCTTGCGTGCCGACACATTCAAAATGAAACAAGAAGAAAGAATCCCGCAAAGGCTGATACCTAACCAAACCAAGAAACAAGGTAGATGCTTTGATGGTAGGCATAGCAAAATATAACAACATATAAAAGTAGAAGGCGAGTATGAGGATTGCATCCTCTATTCAGGTTTGAAACTTTTACTTTGTAAGTTTAAAGTTAGAGCAGAGCATCCCTTTCCCTTAGGATCCAATCCAAGCTACAGAGGTCAATGTTATAATTCTAATAATTCTAGGCTCTGGCAGCAATGAAGTAGTCTAAATTTAAAATCCTTCTAGTATATCTAATGAAACAAGTATGTAGAATAAAATATAAATAAGACCTTCAATTATTAATTTATTACAATATTTATGGACCTTGATGTGTATAATTTATTTTATATGAACTAAAGATTTGGTTTTAGGAAGAACATAATATAATGAATACTTTTATAATAACCAAAATAAATTAAAAAATATTATTAATTTAAATTCAAAAAATCAAGAAATATAATAAAGCGCTATTATATAGTCAGGCTCAAGGGAAGAATTCTTATATATTTTGTGTCTTCCTAATTAAGGAAGTTGACGAAGGAAGCTTGTGGGGGAATTCGTTGCCATCTTGAAGAAGCTTATATCATAGGTTTCATGAAAAGTTATCTGCCACCAAAGTTGCAAATTGCTGCTAGCTTTGTGTGGTTACTTGTTGCTTTAGGCTCATTTACCTTTTTCTTTTCCCAAAATTGTTGCTTTTGTGCCGTGTTGGTCAGTTGAACCATTTGGCTATTCAAGTTTCCAGTGACAAAATCACAATATTGCTACATGTTGAGCTATGGTTATACATACATACATACATACATACATACATACATAAGGATCAAAGTTCCATGTCATGCATGTGAGAGGTCATCGCTTTGAAAAATATTACTCCTTTCTTCTAAAGTTGGCATCACTGCCCTCAATTAACTCTCAACATTGACAGTAATACATTAAACATGCCAACTATCTAATCTTGCTCTACACTGTAGTACAACATACTTTTTTAATTTCTTTTTTCAATTTGTACAATAAAATATGTTTTAAAAAATAAAGCAGTATATTACATTTGTTACAGAGGGCCTCCAAGCTTAAGCAGTTACCAGACTAGGAAGAACATGGAAAACTTAAGTCACTTAAAGAGGATATACAGCTCCACTTCAGATAAGCATTACACCATTCAAATTTTTAACAATCACATTTCAGATTTGCTGGAATACAATCTTTTCTTTCTTTTTTTCCTTCGAGAGATGCACATAGTACTCCTGCACACATTTTCCAACGAATGAAACCCATATAAACATCAACTGTAACCGGAAATTATTATAGAATTTAAAAGTCAGTCATATATAAGAATCATCAATAAATTATAGGAATATGACCACATGTTGCAGAATGTCCTTTTGCGAGTCAATCAAGAAAATTGTGTCCCGCAGGCTGGACTCTCACAAAAAAGCAAGAAGCTATTTTAAGAGTCAAATTTTACTGAAAAAGTCATGAACATACCTTGTTCCTGAGAATAGAGGCGCATCCTTTCTCCACATTTGTCTTAGCACCAAAGACCATGGTTGCTTTAGGCTTTTGTACTACTATGAACCATCACTGACCAAGACTCTACAACAGATGCAGGATGGATGAGGACAGATTACGTAGTGATTCCTGTTTCTGAGGGACCTGTTGTAGTTCAAGCTAATGTGTATAGACATTAAGAGCAGCTAAATATTAAAAATTTCTCCAAAGCTGCTATTCCAGCCAAATCATGGGCATTTGTGTGCCAAGGAAGGAATGTACAATCCAGTCAAAGAATCAGATAATATCCCCAAAACTCCCTACCAGGAGTGCAGAACCCAATCTCGCTACAAGGGTGTAAATTATATGTCTATTAAATATAAATGATCTCTAATGACAGGTGCATTGTGATCATTGACAATCTCATTTACCAGATGAATAGAAAAGTTGACAACCTGTTTGCAGCATATACCTTCTCAACACCCCAATCTTAACATTTCTTTAAAAGAAATTCAGGAAGGGCAATTAATTGAGTCATCAGAATCATATTCGGAAAATAAATCACAATCTGACTCCACTTCAGAATCAAGACCACTTCCACCAGCTTTATCACCAAGAACAATCTTTGATGGGTCCTCAAGACCTACATTGGCAGTTTTCTTGTATAAGCCCCTGCTTCTATCTATAAATCCTTTTCTCATCATGCTTGCAAATCTTTCTCTGATATCAACAAGGGGATGTCTCTGAATAAGTCGTTGACAATCATAGGCTTCCCTAAGAACAACAGTTTGTGTATCAAGCATCTTGGAAATATAAAAGATGCCAGGATGGCGCTCAAACACCTTAGTAAACTTCTGAGGCAGTGACAATGGTTTGCGTAGATTACTCACATTTTGCCGTTCAGTTTTCTTGTGTATGGTAAGGTGAAGAAGCTCATGAAACACGCCCACAATTCTTTTCTCCGACACATCAGTACGTGGATCCAAGTGAGAGCCATCAGCATAAGGTGAAGTATAAGGAAGTTTCTGCCATTCTTTTAGCCACTCCATGCATTTCCTCTTCAATCCAAAACCCCTTGTAAATCCTATAGGAAAGGCTAAACAGTTATTTTTCAAATATTCCTTCTTTTGCAGAAAAGCATTCTTCTCTAATTGGGAGACAGCAAGTGTATCATCCCACGATAAAAGTTTCAAACCAATGCGATCATCAGCAAGGTGAACAAAGGAAAATGAATCAGGGTAACATGGAATGAAGGTTTTGCTGTAATCATAAGGCAATCCCAAATCCCATTTCAGCTGGTCAATAGTTTGTAAAGGAAGGGTCCTATCCTTGGTAAGCATCAGCAATTTGCAGAGCCTGTCAAGCAAATCAATCACACTCTCCTGGATAACACCAACCTCTTCATGATAAAGATTTAAGGCTTCAGCCGTCAACTCAAAGCAAGGAACACGAGTGCCACTGCTATCAAACACATAAGACTCATGAAAAATAGAAGGGTATCTCCTCATAAATGTGGATAGCTTAAGATCATGGGGCAGACCGAGTTGACCACGATGCCGGGTAAGATGGTAAACGGGAAGACAGCAGTTGGAAGCAGAGGAAAGGATAGAAACAAGATTGCAGGCTGCTCTTAAATCTCTTTCACCAGCAATAACGGCATCTAAGGCTTTATCTTTAACCCATTTCAACTTAACATTAACTAGACTGAAATTCTGCTGGTAATTAAATCCCATCCTCAACCCACATGAAAAGCTAGAAACTTTAGCTTTTCCACACAAAAGCCAATAACCCATGTCCTTATTTTAATAGAAAAATGATTATAAATCAATAATAAGATGCTCGCAAGTTCACCAATAAAACAGCCTTAGCAACACCTACAGAGACAAAGACAAATACCCAGATTAAGATTTTTGGTAATTCTGCATATACTGCTTTGTAAAGTAAATAAACAAGAGAAAAAGACCAAAAAGGCAAAATAGTTGATTCCTCTGAGACAATTTATCAAACATGTAAAGTGCAACGATGCCGCGATATGAAAAGTGCTTACATTACTGAGGCTGAGCTGAAACACCTCAACGATTAAAACTTGGATTTCCATTTAGAGGTTTTAAGTTTGAATCTTGAGAAGAGACTGAGAAGCATGAGATTATAATCATTACAAAAACATAAATTGAAAGCAAAATATTTTAAAAAGTTGTGCCAAATTTTCAATTTGAAAGTAAATTTGGGTCTGAGTGCAGCAAAAGCACTTTCATTTTCAGGCCATAACCAAGGACAGCAAGGATTTATAATAATTTGAGTGCATGAGTGGCAGGAGCAAGAATGTTTCTGGAAGCATATTCAGTTGCTTGCATTGAACAATAAACAGATTGGGAGTGTAATTTACCAAACATAGGTAAAAAAACTAGCTTAATTAGAAAGATAAAATGTGAGACCCAAATTTTACTTTCCTAGAAAAAAAAAATAGCATGCCTAAATAATCATATGTTTTGTATTTGCATATATGATTTGAGTTTTATGTAATTTTATCAATATAATAGAGTTAGATTAAAGTCTTTCATAAGATTAAACTATCAACTCTTTATTTTTATTTTTCTTTTTTATCATTTAAGAATAGTTGAAATTGGAACTTATTTTCCTTCAAAAAGAATTAAACTTATTCATGAAATTATGATAAAAATTTTTAAATTTGACTTGAAAACTTTTACATGTAATGAAGTAAAATAAAATTTTAATCTTCACTTTCCAAGTTCAAATTTTATGATTGATTTAAAAAAGAAGAATTAGCAAGAAGAATCGGATAGAAATAATTTCATAAAAAGTCAACAAGTGATACATTTAAACAATACAACAACATATACCAACTTTATTGTCATTACAGCCACACTGTCAAATTGAAGGGAATTTCTAGACTAAATAATCAAAAGCAATCCAAGGCTCACACATTCTAAGTTCAGATGCCTACGTTACATTTAAACTTACAACTGAAAAGTAAGTTACAATTACAAAAATAACAAGCATTAAAAGTAACAATTTATGGACCATTTGTGCTTTCCTGCAAATGAAGTGGAAGTTTTCAAGTATCTTGACCAACAAGACTTCCATCTAGACTTTTCTCAAAAAGGGGTATTTCCATAGTCGCTTATATGATGCTGTACATTTCCAGTGGACAATATAATTGCATCCAGAAGAAACACATTCGAGAGCCAAATCTTTACAAGGTCTACCACATTCTATGCATTTAGGATAGTAATAAATCTTTTTCACAAAGGTGAGAAGGTGCGGATGATGTTCTTCTTTGTAAATACTCCCGAGTTTGATAAATGGATATCTTCCAAGGACACACTTGACATCAACAGAAGTATCGCAAGTTGCACAATGATAAAACCAGTAATTCGGATCTCTTCTTTCTTCACAAATGTCACAATAATGACTTTCTGAATAACTATTATCATCACTGTATGTAAGTACAAGAGCATGGTCGTCACATTGGTGACGAACTGTAGTTGGCAGTGTAACACATGAAGTATCTACAGCAAAATTGCAATCTTTACAACGGTATGTCAGGGCATTTATGTAACCACCACAAGCACAACACTTCCCTTCATAGTCGACATAACAAAGGAGGGGGTGTTTATGTCCTTGACATGTTAGAGCATCAGGCGTTAGAGTTACACATCGAAGGCATACATGATCGTTACATTCATTACATTTATAGGCAAAGCCATTAGATAGGTGATTGCATAGATGACATCTAAAAATGCAGCCTGAAGTAAGGATGAGAACACTTTGCTGGCAATAATGAAACCAAACGTGCTTCATCTTAGGTAATTCAGCACAGGCTTTATGAAGAAAGAAATCACACCTCTTAAACCAATAGTAAAAGAAGCTGAGATAGGTAACAAGCACCCCTCGCAACATTTATCATACTCCGCAATTTCTCCACTTAACATCAACTCATGCATATGCTTGAAATGTTTATTTTTTGTGGCTTCTCCTGCTTCATTCCTCTCAATAACACAAGTGATGGAGTCAATAGATTCACCAGGCAAAAGTGCCAAACTAACGACATCTTCATTTTCGGGTGAAACTATATAATACCAGGTTTCATCTTGTGTCGCGCAATTCACATGGGCATAATTTTGCAATCTGAACAATAGTAACTGCCTTGCTCTGCATTGACCCCATCGTGACAAATTATGCAATCCCCATCCTTAAAATCTTCATCATGAAGGAAGTATGTGTGAAAAATATGGTGGTGATGCACCTGCTTTTGATGATGCGTGGCAATGAAATGCATTTTTTATGTACTATAATATTGCATGTAGTACATATGTAGGCAACATGATTTCCTGCAGTGCCACATGCATCACAAATGAAAGGAGCTTGTCTCCAAAACAAGGAGAATGGGTGTTGATGACTTTTATCTTCAATGATGGGCGGGGGTGATACACACTCAATGTGAAAAGCAACATTGCAGGGCAAACAATAATAAACAAATCCTCTTTGTTGGGTTTCTTGGCATATGTAGCAAGAAAACTTTTCACTATTGAACTGTAGCACAAGAGGATGTTTGCGGTGACACATATGATTGATTTTGAGAGGTAACTCAGCACATTTCTTATGTAGATGGAATCCACAACCAAGAGAAAAGTATGTAGAACTTAGTAACGGTTGCCAACACCCAAAACACTCAAAACGTTCAAGTTCTACACCATTATTTTCGGTGGAAACCAATGGATCTTCAAGAGCAACGCCGTGAAGCTCTTCAACATTTTTTTGAGCAATATTATATGTAAATAAAGCACATGTGATATGAAAGTCTAATCCACAAGAGCAATGATAAGCGAAAGTCTTACAGCTTTCATCACAAAAATCGCAAATGCAGATTCCTTCATCATAAGGAGGGTATGGCAGAAGGAGGAGAGGATGCTTGGGATGAAAAGGGTGATTGATCTCCAAGGGTGCCTCAGCACAAATCTTATGGAGGTAAAACCCACACTCCACAGCCAAAACTTGGAGCTGACAGTGACACCTCCTTTCCACACCTTGAGCAGTAAGCTTCTTCGCTTTGATTGCTCTGCCCTTCATTCAACACCAGGGGATGCTCATGCCCAAAATTTTCAGACTCACTCATCTCTCCTTTCTTTTACTGTCTGCCCCTGATTTGGAGGTCTGGAGAAAGGTTTCAACGCAAAAGAGATTAAAAGCCCAGAAGGGTGCTTCCAGATTTGGGAATTGGGAAAGATTTGAAAGGGAGGTTCCTGCGAGGATTGACACAATCAAGTCAACGCTCATATTTACTTGTTAGTAGTGTTTCTGTAATGAGTCTTTTATTATTATTATTATTAAATTTGATGACGTCATTCTACTTGCTTAGCTATATTATCACATAATAAATATGACACTAGTGGTTGTAATTAATGTTTCTTCAGCATCCTTTCATTTCCAAAATTCTTATAAAATCTAATCTATAGGGAATCGTATCATATAACCGTTGGTTCAGTTGTCACTAAAGGCAGCAAAAATGGACTTCATAATTTACTCATTTTGAGAGGCAACTATATAGTATACAGTAGGGAGTATTTGAAACTGTTTAAAACCCATTACGCTAAATGAATTCAATAGTCTACTGTTCCTCCTGGTTTATAATCATCATTTTTCTTTTCCTTGATTCCAAAAAATAAATATAAAAAAACTATGTTAATATTTTAATTATAAATTATTATTACTAAATGTATTTTTAATATTTTGAAAAGAAGAAGAAATTGTAAAAGAAAAAATAGGAAAAGGATAATTAACACAAAATATCATATTAATATTTTAATACTATGTAATGAGCATTTTATTAAAAAGAAATTAAAAGAGAAAAAGGGGAAAATGAAAATATAAAAAATTATATTAATAAATTAATAATAAATTATTAATATAATTTTAATAAAAAATAAATTAAAAGAAAAAAATGAAAAATGAAAATAGTGAAAGAATAAAATAATAAAATAAATATCATATTAATATAATTAATATTAAACCTTAATATATTAACAATAAATTATTAGTATTTTAATAAGAATAACATATTAAATCATTATGTAATAATAACATTGCCAGAAAATAATGGATTTCAAAAAACTCAAATTTTTTATTAAAATTATAATAAAAGACTTCATTTTATCACTTATTCTTTTATGATTGTAAATTTTTTTTTATAAATCAAACAACAAAATAATATCGAAATTAAAATTTCATTTTATTAACTAAACTACATAAATATCTATTTTATTCTATTATATTTTATTCTACTCTTACATAATAATTATTTTATTTTTCTCTATTTAATTCTGATACAGAACTTTGCCACTTACCTTTCCGTAGCTTTGCAAAAGCTGTTGTCTTTTAAAGGAGAGATGAAGTCATCGTGACTGAGATCAAGGAAACATAAAGCCACGAAGAGCTTAGAATGGTGGATAAAGAAGAAAGGCATATGTTGTTGAAGCGAGCAGCATGGAAATGTATGTAAAAAATTTTTGGTTCTTACTTCTACAGTTAATTTAATGGAAGCATAAAAATGTGTGCTTCAATTTGTTTGCGTTTAAAGTTAAAATAATATATATAATAATTTTAGAAAAATTTTAAATTATTTTTAATATATTTAATCAAATATTTATATTTTTTAAATTAAATAAATTTTTATAATTAATAATTAATTAATTATTAATAGTTAAAATATTTTTTCTATATTCATGTGGCATTAACAAAAAAATAAAAAATACTACTTAATCATATTATCATGTTATGTGATATTTAATTCGTCACCAACATCTATTAGAACAGAAATAATAGTTAGTCACGTGTTAATCATAAAAGATTATTAGATCTTAAATAAAAATATAAAATTTTGATTAAATATAATAAAAATTAATTATTTATTCAAATTTTTTAAAAAAATTAAAAAACTTTTAAGTATTATATCAATAAAATATTGCTAAAAAATCTGAAATAAAAAAAAATAACTTCAAAGATATTAAACGTTTATCTTTGAAATTTATACTATTTTAACAAATAATATCGGTATTTTTTTTTCTATTTTCAAATTTAAATTATTTAATTAACTCTAATTTTTCTTTGATAAATTTAGCTTTAAATTTTTATTCTAAATTTCGATTTTGCTTAATAAACTTACATCCCTATCCTTGAACGTTACAGCCATACCTAGTATAAAAGTGAAAATGTCAGTTATGTCCTCTACTCCATATATGCTCCTAACATTACAAATCAACGGACACGTGTGAAACTGCTGTCTTCTTTGATTTCATTATTTATAAACTCTGCTCTGCTCTGTTCTTCTCTTAACAGAGTTGCTAACAACAGATTTTGATGGACCAATCATATTCTCATTGTCTCCTCTGAACCCTTCCCGATTACTCTCTGTCTCTGTCCTTTCATGGCGATCGCTGCTGCTTCTCCCTTCTCCGTCGGTAATCACACTCAACCCGCATCTTTTACGATAATATGTTTTTTATGTTTAAATCGATTAATAACAGCAATCGAAAAAGCGGGATAGAGATTTTTTTTTGGTTAATTTATTAAGTACCCATTTCGATTTCCATGTTTTAAGGCAAATACTTCTCCCTTTAAGTTGTTTTAGTTGATCTGAAGTTGTATAATTAGTTTCCTGCTTGTTTGCTGATGATGAAGCAAAAGAGTATAACTACTTCTTTTTACTACTAATATTTCCCTTAACTTTTTTTCTCTTGTTTATTCCCATAATTTTTAGATGATAAGAAAAACTTGAAATTGGGTATTCCAGTAATGTCAAATTTTATGTGTGTTTAAGAGGGAAACTATTTTTTTAACTATTGAATGAAGAAAATAACTTTGATATATCCTTTTCATGGCTATCATAGAATACTGACATGCAAGTGGGTAAGCTCATGTTCTGGATTTAGTTGATTTTCATTTATTTGGTTGCTAGGAAGTTTTTTGTTATATTATTTATAAATTTATGAAATGGGATTAGTAGAGCCATTGGTCTTGTCAAAGAGTTAAAACAGTATAAATTTCATTTCACCAAGAAGTGAACCTTTCACAAAGTAATTGGTACCCGGTTTTGGGTTCAATAGTTGATTTCCTCTGCCAGGGAGGGTGCATATGGTTTTTACGTCTAATATGAGGTTTAGTACTTAATTTTTTCCTTCATACTGGATTTGCATAAAATTCTAAGGAATGCACATTTGGTGAGTATTTGTTTCTACATTTTACTATTCTATTTAGGGTGGCTAAGTATGATGTTTGCATTTGCATTTTCATGACGTTTTTTTGTAACCCCTTTCTTATTGCACGGTGCTATCAGGTCCTTCCCAGTGCCATTTATGTCAAGTGGAAGGGGTTTATTACTCACCATTACATGGGGTTAACAGCAGTTGGGTCAAAACTACATTTGATGGCTGCAGAGCTAGTGACCTGTCTGGTGTGAGGTGCAAAAATAGTTATTTGTTTAAGGTTATATGGGAAAGAGAAAACCATTTCTCGATTGTGTAAAATTGATCTGGTTTTCTTTATTGATTTGTTTATGATTTTGATAGCAGTATTTGTCCGTTTCTTTGGCAAGCCATATATTTTTGAAAGCTTAGATTTTATTGAACATGCATCTTGATTGTTGATTTATAAGCATAAGTTAAATAATATTTGATATTTTGGCTAACTGCATTTGTTGTGTTATATTGTTGTACTATTGTCAGGTGAGAGTCAAGTCTGTGTTGTGAATATCATTCTTTTTAGCTTATTGTACAAATTGGTGACCAGCAAGTATTTCTTTGCCCACTTGAACAGGAAAGCAATAATATTGTTAAAATATGTCTTGTGGATCCTTTAATTTGTTAAACTATGGGTTTTGGTATTAGCTTGGCTAATGCAATGATGATGTTGCGGGTAACACCGTAACACTTCCATTGTTGCTGGAAGTTCTTGTTTGTTTTTGGTCAAGGGGAAAAACATGCTCTCTGGTTCAATTGCCTCTACTTCAATGTTGTTTGAGTTCAAGGCAATTCTACACCCAAATATGTTAACTTACTCATGTCTGGTTGTATAATATTATAAGGGTTAGTTAATATAGGACATTTATATAGAATGAATGTAGTGTGGATTGTTTGGGAGATGACCACGGGTACATTAAGTGTCAAAAAAAAAAAAAAGAGGTAACATGTGAAGCATGGTCCTATCTAGCATCCATCAACAATTGACTCTAGTGCTTTCTAGATTCCTTTATAACTTTTGCACAAATAATTTGATTATTTGTATACAAATTAGACTACATTTTACCATCCAGTCTTCTTAGCTGTTTCGGATATTTTTGCAACTTTTTCATATGAAACTTAGTTTTTCTTTTAGATCCTTGCTTCTTTTTTCTTTTAGATCCTTGGTTAAGAAGCAATTTTTCATTTCAGTTTCAGATGCAGGAGTCCATTTTTCGGATCAACACAATTTCATTGGTGGCCTGCAGGGCATGATCTTTGCCTTTCAAAAGTTTCAGTTGCTGCAGATTATTCTGATTCTGTTCCTGACTCATCTAGCTATGCAAGTAACCAAGGTTATCATCCTCTTGAAGAACTGAAAGTTTTCAAAAGGATCCGGGAAACTAAACTATCAGCAGCTGAAGTAGCAAGGACAACCGTTGAGGTGCATCTTTTAAATCTTTGAATTACAGAACTGGCAAAAGAATTCAGAGTCTAGATTGTTTGAAATGAGTTGAATATGTTGACAGCAACTGTGTGTTTGTTATTCCATAACATAAACATAACTAGTTTTCCCCTGCAATAAGAATTCATGGTTATACTTTTCCAGTTTTGCTTGTCTTAGGCTAACGGCACAGCTTTGCTAGTCTTTCCTGGCACAGTGCATTCTGAACCTCATGAACAGATTTCTTGGGCTGAATTTCATTATGTCATTGATGATTATGGAGGTAAGTTGATGGAGGACCACCTTTGGGCTTTATTTTCTCATTATATTTATGAATTTCCAACTTTTCTTAATAAACTATATGTATATGTGTGTGTTTTATTATCTATTTCCATTTAAGGTTTTATGGTTTGTCTATATATACATTCTGGTCTGCATAATTTATTCTTCTTTTGGAATATTGAATACTGAAGTCTCTCCTTTTCATCCACTCTGTTTCTTCTTCCTTCTTCCTTCTTGTTTCTATTTTTTTCCTCCACTTCTCTTGGTTTCTTGCTGTTCTCTTTCTCTCCACGCTTCTCTCCCATTTCTTCCATCTTATATCATCGATTCTCTTCTTTCAATATTTTTGATGGAGTGTGTTATGTAATAATCTTAACCTAATTTATGTGTTACCATTTTTATTTTTAATTCAGATATCTTTTTCAAAATTTTTGATGACGAGAACATCTTACAAGATCGTGGAGCAAGTAACCTTGTGGTGAGGATATGATTGTTCTCAAAATGTTGTTTCTTAATTTACATGTTGTAGCTTAAATTAAGTTTGATTCCACTGTATATTTTGTGCAAGCCTGGGTGTCATTGATTTAATATTCAGAAGTCACTAGCTTAACAGTTGGTGTATATTTGGAAAAACAAAATAATGAGGGTGATTTTATGAAAAGCTCATGAAAACTATACTTCCAATGACAAATGTTTTTCATATTATACCTAATGAATCTGTCTTAAGTTGATCAAATGTTACTCATTGTTTATGGAATGTCTTTTCTTTAAGCTGGGAAAACACATTATTCACAGATTCATTCTAACTTATATGTGGTTATGACTCTACTAGTAAAGAGGTGGCTGACTGTATCGTCAACAACGCTGTTTAGCTTTGCCATTTTGATATCAAAAGTTCCAAAGCTGCTGAGGGGTTTTGATAAGTTTCATCAATCTGTAACCAAAGAATAAATGGCTTAAGAAATTACAAAAAGCATTAACAAATTGCAAATGTTGTAACAAGGCTTTGGAAATGTTAAAAAATGTAAACATGCTATATGTTTTTCTGCACTTGGTGATGGGATGTTTCATTGTCATCTAGTTAGAGCTCATGCTAGAATATAGTGTCTGCTGATTAGAGAAAATAAGAAACTTTACCAGTCATTCTGATATCTATATTGCATAAGAATCCCACAGAAGGTGATCAATTATACTATTTTAGATATTACTACAAGAGATGTTCGTATTGGAAATGATAACAATCAAAAGATTGGAGTTATGTCTTGCATGCAGATCTATATTCTCACCTTGACTTTAATTAGTTGGTATTGCATGCCATAAAGAGGTGTACTATATCCCTTTTTTCTATTCAATGAGTTCCACAGTCTAAATTTGGTTATGATTTCGTTTCTTTCAGAATGCTCTGATTGGGATGGATATCCCCATGCATGAGAATAATAGGGTAATTGGTGAATACAATATTTCAGACATTGGGAACGATGACGAAATTCCTTTTGATGATGATTATTTTGAGGTTAGAAACAACTGATTCTTGATTTTAGAAGTGAATTTTTTATATTCTTTTTCTTTACTTTGGCTATTCAATTCACATTCACATCAAATAGGTTATGGATTCTGAAATGTCGGAGGCTCCAGTGGATTGGGGGATGCCAGATACTGCCAGTGCCAGCTGGGTTCATCCTATATATTTTGCCAAGTGCTTGACAAAGGTTATAATAGCTACTTTCTTATAACTACTAGTTGTTACATAATTGAAGATGTCCACAGTGGCTTCTCATTTGAAAACTTGATTAAGATCACCTAAACTGGTTATTCCTGAATGATGTCACTATTAACAACTGGCCTATTTATATTCTAAGGTTTAATTGTATTCAATAATATTGTGGACTTTCTTCCCTATAACTCTTGCAAAAGGCTGCTAAGAAAATAGTTGATCAATGTATTGGTTCATGAGTTTGATAAGTCAATGTGTTCATTGTATGGAAGAGCATTATTGAGTGATGAGTATAATGTACCCTACCCTTTTTCTTGTCCCTTTCATTTATATGGTTAACTCTGTTACACTTAGTTTGTGCATTCTTGCAGGCCGTTCATATGGAACATGACAGAAAAATGGACCATCCATCAAATGGTGTTTCTATTGTGGGTTGCCTCAGACCAGCCTTTTCTGATGAAGAATCATATCTGAGAAGGCTATTCCATTTTGAAGATAATGATGGCTACACCTCAGACTGGAAAGGTTTTACATATTTACGCACTTATTCCTCAGTTACCATAGCAAATCCCTCTTTCTCTGAGTCAAATTACTGGAAATTATAGGAATTATCAAACCAGATGGGCTGTGCTAGAAAATATGTTTGTTTGTAGGTAGGTGTGAACACATGCATATACACATGTATTCTACGACCAAATATCAAATTTGTTGTCAGTGCTCAACTCAGCGTGAGTGTCCCAAGATTCAAACCACTTAATGGTGGACTTTGGTAATTTTTATACAACCAGGAATGAAAATCCTTTATTCAGGATTTCTCCAAGTTGTTTTGACACCTCCCTAGCTATCTTTGAAGCTGGCAATGACTAATATTAGGTGTTTGGCTATGCAAATACATATTGGTGAAATTTTGCAAGTTGGCCTAATTTTTTTCATTTTGCACCTGTCTAGATGGTGAAACTTCCAGATCTAGTTCCAAATATGGTGGATCTAAAAGTGACTCAACTCTCTATCGATTGGAGATAATGAGAATGGAATTATTCTCTATATATGGTGTGCAGGCATGTAATTTACTCTCTCTCCAGGACTATATTTGTAAGCTTTGACTCGTTATGTTGGTGGACCAGACATATATGGTTCTGATGAAAAGAAGCATGGAAGGAAGATTATCATCTTGTTTTCTTTATATAGTACTCAGATATGCATGCTGCAATCCTGAAATGGATGCTTACTCAGAACCTAACCAAATTTTCTTTTCATTTCTATGGTGGTTTCTTTCTACGAGATGCTATAACTTGAAATTTAATTCTGCATCTCTTTGTATATTTGCAGTCTTTAATTAGCTTGCAAGATTTTCAAGATGCTGAGCCTGATGTCCTTGTACACTCTACTTCAGCAATTTTAGAGCGTTTTAGTCGGAATGGAATCAGGTGCAATGTTGCTCTAAAAGCCCTGTGCAAGAAGAAGGGTCTCCAAATAGAGGTAATAGTATCTTGTATGACCTTTTCTTTCCCCTAATCTTAAACATGTGTTGAATTTCTTTGCATATCTTTTATCTGTTATAAATTGGAAGGCATTTATCTTTTTCTGTGATTAGCATGTCTTTTACCTAATACCTGAATTTAGATTATGGCTACAAATATAAATAATTCAATATAGTCAACACATTTCTGCTTCTTGACTCTGCACTGTCAAAATTTGAAGCCATTGCTTTTTCTGTGTATCAACAAGATACTTGTGCCTGTGGTGGAGAAGCATAGGTACTGAAGTCTTCATTGGTATCATTTTCCCTGTCATAATACCTTCAGGTTATACCATGATGAGTCAAGATGCGATATTTCTGTTTGGATGAAAATAATCTAACTCAGCATTTCTTGATTTAGCATTTTTAGTGAAAAATCTCTTGTCTAACGCATTTTCAACTTCCAGCACATGTAAACTTTTAAACTATAAGGAACTCTTATGTCATTTATGAGTAGGTTGTCTTGTTTGGAAGTGTCCTACAGGTTCATGTGCATGCTTCTCAAGACTTGAGATTCTTTGTGTTTGCCACATTGATTTTCATAATCCACTTGAGCAGCAATTTAGAGCTCTGATCTTTTCTCTACTATATAGGGAGCTAATTTGATTGGAGTTGATAGTCTCGGCATTGATGTAAGAATTTTCTCTGGGGTGGAAGTTCGAACTCATCGTTTTCCATTCAAAGTTCGGGTAAGTAACTTATAAAACAGTTGAAGATATTGAAAAGAAGAATGTGCTCTTTTTCATGTCATAACAGTTGGTTAATTTTCTGATATATGATATGATACTATTGTCTAACCCGTTAGTTGTAAGAATTAAGAAAACAAATGTTAAATGGTTTGGGATTATAGCTTGTGCATCAGAGTTTGCTATTATCTTTGTGCCTTAATGATTAGTGATCAACACTAATGGATTGCCTGCACATTTTTGGTTGCATCATTTTAAGCTGTAAAAGCGCATTTAACTGCACAGTTACTTGTGTTCACTTTGCATTTACAGCTTTTTCCATTTTATGTGGTATCCAATGGCAATTAATATTTTCAAGTTTGCATTCAAAGCAGTAGCATCCTCATCATAGTTAGGTGATGACTGAGATAACTATTGTACAGGTAATGCTTGGATCGATGATCACCCACTTCAACCAATGCTACTTATTATTTATCGGTGCCTAATTCTCCACCTATAACAAGGGGCAAAGCCATTCTGATTATAATACTAACCAAAAATAAAAATAGAAACTATGCAGTTTCTTTAAGAAAGTGATAAGAAGGATTTGCTAATTTTTGTTTGAATTGTCGGTATTAGTTTCACCATTTTTGTCTCTAGTGATGCATAAGCCATTCAAATAGAACTTTTCACACACTAAATTGATGGCTATACCTGAATTGCAGGCTATGTCTGAAACTGCAGCTGAAAAGCAGATCCAGAAACTGCTGTTCCCGCGGTCTCACCGAAAGAAATTTAGGACTGATGGAGATGGATTCAGGGACCCAGCCTCCTTTTAGTTTTCCTTTTCTAATTATCCAGTGACTCCAGTTAAGGATTGTTCAAGACTTGGAATGTTCTTTAACCAGCATTTTTGCTTCTTTGGTTGAAAAGAGCAGCAAGCTTAGGTTATCCAAATTCCTTCCACCTAATCAGTGAGAGCTGATTCCAATGCAGTTATGGGCACTATCAAGCACAGAAGAACTTGGTCCTTAAGATTTTTAGTGCTATCCAGGTGAGATTGTCCAGGAGCATCACTATATTATTCCACAGAACCTGCAACAATGGCTGAGCTTTTTGCAACCTGAGCAATGGTACTACATGAAGCTGAAAAGGAAACTTGTCTTGGAGGTTGGGTGAGCTGTTAAACAGAAAATGTAACATTTGATGAGGTCTCATCTGAAGGCTGAAGCTTATGGATTGCTAGTATGACTGTTAGCTTGATGTACTAATAAATCAGTGGCATCTTGTACATGTTTCAAGCTGATGCCTGCCCCAAAACCTTTACTTTTACTGGTCATTCAAGATGAGATAAATAAAATGGGAGAGGGACATGATTCCTAGCTTTGTAACTCAAATTTAGAATGGTGCTTAACCAAATTTGCTTATCAACGCAGCAACTGGTGACCGAAGCTAGCACCAGAACTGCATTTTGGCATATGTTATACATAAGTTCTTTCTTTGTTAAAGTTGCACTCAGCAACCAGCTAGGTAAAATGAAATTTTTAAATGAAAAAGTGAATCAAAATTAAAATAAATGTACAAAATTCAGAACTTTCCTCAAGCGTATGTCTTCTTTTATCATTGAACAAAAGGGTATTTACTCAGTTGTAACGATATAATTATTCTTCTCTCTTTCCCCTCCAAATGTTTAAACAACGATTGCCTTTGCCTCAAAATTATGAGGAAAACGCCTCTCCCAGAGTTTTTCAAACCATGAAACTTCTGGAATTGTAGCCGGTGACCTATAACTTGTGCTCCGGGAGAGTGGAATGAGAAGCGTGAAAGCAATAAAATGAAACGAAAACAGCATTTACTCATTCACAAGTTCCTCTTAAGGCCACAAACTATTCATCATTCTTTTCCTTTTGATAATACGAGTCCAAAATTGATGCTTCCTTGTCATCAGCGTGATCCTTTTTACGTGTCCCATAGTAGATAGTTTCTCTATTCCGAGGGAGCAGTAACATCATGATTTCTTCCCTCGTGTATCTTTTCCCACATTTTTGTTCGAAATGATTTCCCTGGCCCCGGTGCTAGTGGTACAATCAGGCGTGCTAGTCTCCCCTGTTTTCGAGCTTCCAGCCATAGTTCCTCGATTGAGGTTGTCGAAACCAGCCTCCTGATCAAAATGTTTGCTTGTATCAGCATCTTCATCAGCAACGCCAGTTCGGCGTTGATCCTCTTCCTTGTCACCCCTACAGTAAGTGGAATCAGAAAAACACAAGACAAATACGTCAACTTTCTCATGCAGTGAAATGCCAAAACAGCTTTTCTAACTTCGTAAGGAAGAGTCCATTTACAAAAAGCAGACAACAAAGCACACTAGACATAGACATGAAGAGATCAATGATATCAAAACATATTATACAAGAAAACACAATCAAATTCCCATCCACAAGCTTTATGGAGCCAAGCTCATTGGTGAGCATAGTAAAATTGAAGAGCAAGTTAGGAGCAAAGCAACAGCTATTCCCCTTTAGTCTGTGACAAAGTTGGAAGATAAAGAATTTTAATTGCAAAATTACTTACCCAGAGTAAATTATAAGCCCAACAGCTACGGCAACAAATGCTAAAAAGTACATCCAATCAACCTGAAGAAAATGACTGCTGTCAGAAAACTGGTTCCCTTCTATCAAATTTAAACTTAAAAATTCAATCTCAATTTTAAAAATAAAAAATAATAATAATTTAGATTGCCAACCTTCTCATGGTAAGCAAAAATGCGGATTAAGACAGCCCACATGTCTGAGGTCAACAGAGAGAGATTGAGCATTGTGGAACCACTCATCTGCAAGGAAGAAAATCAAAATCAAGGAATTGTCAAGAAATATTAGATTCACATAAGCGCAGTGCTGGAGAATTCATCCCATTAGTCTAAAATCTGATTAAAAAAATAACTTGCACCCTTTACGTTCTGAATAAATAGTGTATAATAAGGATTGTACCACTTGATAATCTGAATAAAGGATTCTGTCCAATTTTTAAACATTCTAAATATTAGTTGGATTGCTCAGAAACTTTAGGGCCCTAAAATCATGGATTCATGCAGCAAGAGTGGAGTTTAACAACTATAACAAGAGAATGCATGCATTCTCATAAACATCACCATTTTGTCTTTATGCACTCATATCACCAAAATATGTCTTTATGAAACTTATATCCTAATCTGAATCAGTCAGATAAATTTTATATACCAAATAACTAAACAATACAAATTATAAACCTCTGGAGAAAAAATATACCAAAATAAGAAACAGTAATCGGAGTGGTTTCAACTAATAAAAACTTAAGATAAGCATTGACTATGACTGAAAGACAAAGGGTGCAACCAAAATGGTAAGTCACAAGGGGCTAAAACTTTAAAGAACAAAAATAAACAAAACGCTACCATTTTTTGTTTTTTCTTTTCTTATGTAAAGAAAAGAAACAATAATGGACTGTCTAATCAATCAAACATAGTTTACAAACTGTCCTCATTCCAGTTTCTAGCTCCTCGCATCTTAGTTGAACATATTTATGCTCATGCATTAAAAGATACACGTTATCAAACATGAAATCTGAAATTGGCATCTTCATACCTTAAGTAACACCGGGACAAATGAGTAAAACAGAAACATAGCCAACGAAAATCCAAAAAATGGAAATGCCTGAAAAAACAAAAAGACTAATTAAAGTCCATTAAGAAAAACTCGAGGTTCTATGCACACCAAAAATTACAGGACAACCACCTGTTTACTGATATTGTTGTACCTATTAAGAAATAAGGCGTGGAGAGTGTGTATATGTGTCAATATATCATTTACAAAAACCCCATGCACAACAGTTATAATGAACGCAGCTTTTGCTATCAGATGATACAGGATGCCACAAATTTATCAATTGAAATATCTAGTGTTGTATAGTTTTCACAACACATTATTTGATCCTGCATTCTTGCTTAATTATCCTCATCATCTTCTAAACAGAAAATGCCACAGAGATCAATAGTGGCAGATTCTGATTCATTCAAATGAAAACACATATTTCGCTTTTCATGATCTCCTTGGCAATTAGTTTCTGGTTCTGCTTCATACACCAGGGCTCCAAAATACATTTACTATTTCTATCAAGCTCGCTAACCTTTTCTTTCAGGTAGGATCAAGAATTGCAAAAAAAAAACAATTTTGCCCAGATGATTTTAATCAAATTGCAATCAGTTTATATTGTTCCATTTGCTGGTGCAAAAAGAACATAACAGACACAAGAAAAAAAATCAAAGACTTCTTCCTAGTTTGGACCTAATCAAGCCAACTTGTAGTCAAATGAACTTTTTTTTTTGCTCATTTGTAGTCAGATGAACTTATTTTAACTATTGTGGCTTAGCTGGGGTCAGTTGCATCTCTCTTTTTTCTTTTTTTATTCAGATAGCAATTCCAGCATGCAAATTGGAACCTATATCAGGTATCAGGGAATTCAAAATGCATGTGAGATATTCTAAAGCAAAGTTGTAGAACATTATGGTTGCACACAGGGAGAAAAATGTGGGGAGATTGGAAGTTTCAAAGGAACTTACAGCACCAGCTGTCCAGCGAATAGATTTGAGTTCATTGCGTTCAATTATGCTTCTATAGACATCATTAAGGTTTACAGATTGACAATAATAATTGCAGCAAAGAAATATGTAACCAGCTATCACTGGGATTGTACAGGTTCAATATCTTTAACAAAATCTCAATGGGATTAATATCACAGGATGTCATAACTAGTCTAAAATTATGTAGATGGGAATGCATATTAAGGAGAAATCATAACCTTGAAAACAGTAAATACACAGTAAATTTCATAAAACAAAATATAAACCCATAATGGTCAGGAATCATTATATTAAGAGCAATCAAACTCAAAAATCAAGGATACATTTGGATTGAACTAATAATGGCACCAAATAGACCCAAAAATGACATGAGTTCAACTCTATCAGCATTCTTCACAAGAAACTCCTGCAAAAAAAAAGTAAAAACAAATAATGATGTAGAGAATGCTAGATAACCAACTGCAATACACACACACACACACACGCTATTGGAGAGAATAACATAAGATAAAATGAAGCAATGCTTTGAGCCCTGTACAAGTTACAGCCAATTGACTAATAATGATCGTTAAGGCAACTTCATTTATAAAACAATGGTCATCCTTCAAACCATAAAACAAAATTATTTCACATTTGAAAATCCATCTTCAACCTCATTGGTAAAAGAAAATGTCAGGCAACTATTGGCAGGGAGAGTGAGAGATCAAAGCTCTTGACAGGCTATATCCAGTATACTAAGAATGATTGACAAAGCAACTTTATTACCTCACTGACATTACTGATGGCATAGAGAGTTGCCCCAGCAATAACGAATAAATCTCCTTTGCGAGGGTTGCTGCCTCCTACAACCCAAAATAGCAGTTCTTAGATCAGAATACACCCTGTATTGTCCCATCTTAATGCCTTAAAATAAACTAAAATCGATAGTGACAATACGTGGTTTAAAGTGAAAATAAAAAATCCACAAAAATACAGGAAAGGCTGGTCATGTGTCAGTGCCTCAATATTAGACAAAATTCATAACTAAAAAATCAGCCAAAAGGTTAAAATATTAAACAAGGAGCAATAGGAGGATCAGTTCCACAATTACATCCCTAATATGCAGATTAAAAGAATTGACCATGCACAAAAAATGCAGCAAATGTCAACACTTTACCTGATCGGTCGCCTGCATGAACATCAGAAAAAACAACCATGACAAGCCCAGCAACACATACAATCACACCAGCTATCTTTCTGAATCTGTACTTTGTTTTCAAGAAAAGAAAGGTAAGAAGCATGACTGATGGGATAGACCAACAATCCAGCAGCATGACACTTGTTATAGATGTGTACTGATAGGCCTTCACCACTGCACATGAAGTGAACAGTCAATTAATAACAGTAAAGATTAATTGATTTGCAGACAACTATATTGTGACATGTATGCTAAAAACACCTAAATGGATATTTTTCCTTGAAAAACTGACAACACAAAGGGCTACAGGGTAAAAGACAAACATTTCAAATGAGCAGACAAATCATATGCTTCTATACTGAATCAGTAAATCACATTTGAGGTTATCGTATTGTACATGAACGAAAACTATTCACAATCTAAACTGAACTCCAGTTTAACAGCAGCAATGTTAAGCACTGAATTTTTTTTTTTTAATTTTAACTCATAATTTCACATGTTTAGCTACTCATTCTTTCAATCATTCATAGCAAAAATAAACGCAAATAAAATGTAGACAGTTAAATCTTCTTAAAAATACCCCATGGGCACAATGAAACTACTGAAATATCGTTCATTCTCAGCTTAATTTTCCTCCATCACCTTAATATGTGTAGTTCCTTCTAAGTTTCTAGTTTATTCATCAAGGTGAATTAATAAAGTTCTGATCACCTTCCCAGAATATCCTTCAGCACATGGGAGGTTATAGTCCAGGAGACATAGAGCTGAATGAAAATGAATATTGCTGGGAATTGTCTCCAACTGACAAAATATAAAATATGGGAAAAGAAACTGCAATCAAACTTGGTTGAATCAAAAGAGTATCTGTCATGATTAACTATAGAAGGTTTTACAAAGCAAAACCAACTAGGGAGAGAAGCAAGAAAGCTTCTGCTAAAGAGTGCTGTATCAATCGAATAAGCTCAAACTCAGCAATTTCTCAAAAGTTTCCTGCATGTCTTTTAGTCCTTTTTAAGCAAGAATATAAGTTTAAGTAGCCTAAAATAAAAAAAATTAAAAACCTGAAAAATATGTGCCACATTAAATATAAAATCAGCCAAGATCATTGGAAGAACATGATGCACTTACCAAGATAATTGGCCTCTACATCTACCAATCCAAGAACAACATAATAATACCATTTTGCCTGCACAAATTCCAAATAAAGCAGTCAAACTTAAGGCATCAAATATGAAAATAAAACCAATTTACAGAAGTTTCTGTTTACATGCTCTCTACGGCTACAAGCATTGCCCGGGTGCATAACTCCCAATGATATACCATCACAAACCATAATCCCTGATAATAAAATATTTACCTCAAAAAGGAGGCTGGGCAATCAAATCCTACACATATTCCAAATCCACTCAAAGTATGTGAAGAGGAGATGTCAAAGCAAAGAAATACCTTAAGTGCTTGCCTTCTGTAAAGCATGACACTTCCATACACAACAGTCAAGAGTACATAATTTAGAAACGACTGAGATGTTGGCGCGTTGATTCCTAAGATATACAATAAAACAGAGAAAATAATTATCAAAGGCATGAGATCACTAAACACGTGGAAAATCATCTCAAAATGAAAAATTAAATGATGATACATAATTCAAAAACCATATGAATGCACTATTCTTTCTTTTTCTAACTTTTCCTTTGAGCTTTGAAAATCTACTGGAACATAGAGCAAGCCTTACCAAGAGAAGAACCAGTGATCAAAAGACAGAATCTCAAATTTAATGGACAACGAGTGAAAACACGGAAAAAAATTCATAAGTAAATATCGAAAACAATCCGAGAAATATAGTTAATCAAACCAAAAAATTTCAGCCTTTTGCAGTCTAATATTTTGAACAAGCGGTGGCAACAATTTTCAAAAACTACAAGTCTTTTTGAGAGAAAGCTCAATTCCTTGCAATCAATTATCACAAGAAACGCATACACAAGATTACAGCTCTACAATCAATTAAATTAAATAAAGAATTAAAGCTAGAAATCAAATGAAACTAATTGAATAATATATCTTCGCCACTCCTTAACCAATTTTTCATTAAAGCGTTCATTTCACTATGGCCATTAATGACAAAACAAAAAAGAAAAATACCAAAAAAAGTATAGACAAAGAATAACAAAAAGAAAAAAAGAAACCTTTTTTGGCGAGTTCAGATGAAGAGAAGCCAGTGGAAGTGATCAGAAGAGACAGAAACTGCCCCAACCCAAGTCCAACCAACGTCTTCTTTGTCCAAAACTGCTTAACACTCATCATTTTCTTTTCCCCTGATAACTCTCTCTCTCTCTCGCAATTCTCGATATCAAAAAGCAATCACCACCCAGTTAAGGAAAACCAAAAGACTCAAAGACCCATTTGCAGAAACTCCTTTAAAAGCTTCCAAATATCAAATACATACCAATGGTGTACGTTAGTGTGGGTAGTGAAATGACTCAAAAGCGACAGGCTTGACAGTGAAAAGGCAGAGTTTTTTCCAATTCAACGTGAAAACTAGCAATGAACCAACGGGCACCATTGAGTTCCCAACTTCTACAAGAAGACCATCTCCTCTCCAGCCCTTAAATATTGTTAGTAAAAAATCAAAGGAAGAAATGAAAAAAAAAAAAAATCTACAAGCCGTGGAATTTGGCCATTTTCTTTTGTTCTCCATCAATTTCGTCGGGACGGTTTAAATGGTAGACGCAACGTGATTATGATAATACCAACAATAATTGACAAATTTCCCAATGAGGACAAGTATGTCGGTCCAAAGTATATTTTTTAGACCTTATTGTTTAATCATTAAAATAATTTGTATTAGTATTAAACAGTTACATGATTTTATTTATCAATGGGATATTAAAATATATTTTATAAAAATTAATTAATTAATATACTTTTAAAATAAATATGGAGTAATTTTTTAATTATCAACATCATCAGTATCATTAATAGTCAATTTGAATAGAATTAGACCAAAAAACTCGATTATAAAGAAACTAAATCCATCAATTGGGAAATAAAAGAAATTAAATTGATAAAAAATTTATAATATGAAGATATATGAGATACTTTAACCAAAAAATTTTGAGTGGCGTATAACTGTGGATGAAAAGGGAATTTGCCGCTGCGGCAAAAGGTCGATCAATTAATTGTTATTCCTAATCTTTTTGACCACAGATTCGTTTACTGTTCTTACTCATAAAGCAAGCGCACAAGTAAGCTTCAAGCTGAGTTGGTTGTTGACCTGGGCACTCCATTTCTTTTCCATTTTTTCTCTTTATAAAAAGGTTGAATCCCATTATCAATAATTTCATAATATCAATCATTTAAAATAAGATTATCATTTCAAATATGGCCAGACAGCTTCTTTGTTCATCAAATCTTAACCCTATTTCATTTAGGTTGGCGACAAGTAAAGTTTAAACTTGCATCAACACTAAAAAATATTAATGTTGTTATTTTTTTTAATTATTGATAAAAAAAATTCAAGTCTAACTTGATAATACGAAAATATATGTACTTATTATTAAATCAATGTTCAGGTATAATGTTATTAATTTCGTTATTCTATATGTTCATAATGTGGTTTATTTAGGGGTATTCATAATTTAGATAAAATTGAATTAATCAACCGAACTGAATTAATTTGGTAAATTGGTCTGTTACTAAAATAATTTTGACTGATTTTGTTATAATTTTTCTTTATCGATTTCAGTTAATTTGATTTAATTGAATTATCTACGATTTTAACATAAAATATCATAATTGGGAATGGAGAGCAGGAGTCATAAAATGGAGACTAAAACAAAATCAGTTATGATTAAGGAACATTTCTTTTTTACTAATTTGTTGGAATTATTGATTTATTGTGAATGTAATTTATATTTATCTCTTATACTTGAATCTTTGTTAGGTGTCTTTGTATTTGTAGTAATTCGATTTTAACTTTAATTAAACCGGTCGAACGAGCACTCCTCGAATAAAATCTAATATCTTAATTTAAAAAGTAAAACTTTCAAATATTGAGAAAAAGTAAAAAAGCTAATTCTGAGAGGAAAATCATATAATACCAACAAAATGTATGAGCCGTTGGCTGCTCGTTTCTTTTGGATTAAAATATATAAAATTATCTTATTTTGATAAAAAAAAAAAAAGGACTTAACCCCCCTTGTAATGTTAAGGCTTATGGTGGCCATAGAATGTGGCTTCCCTTTCCACAGTTTGATGCCTCTTTTTGCCTTCCTTTTGGAATATAAATTGCTCTGTTCAATTTCAGTTGATTAAAGTTTTGACAGATTCTAATGCTTTGAGTTTGACCCTCCATAAAAGCAAAAGGTCATCAAATGAAATGGCTTCAACTTGTTAGTGGAATTTTCAGTTTTAGTTTTCAGCCGTCATTGGAATTTCCTTTTCAGACCCGGGAAGTCATCTCTGTGTTCTCAACCACTAGACTGTAGATTTAACACTATCTTTGGTCAGCGGAAAAGGAGAAAAGAGGGGTACCACATGGCTTGAGACATTGTTTGATTCGATACAGAGGTGAGCAGAGTTTCCAATTTGCAATCAGTAAACTTACAGTAGTCTAAAATCATGTATGTGCAAGCTGGATATTGATGGGGATAACTTAGTCTTCAGAATTGTCAACTAATAGTATCTTCTCAGCCTGGAAAGGACCATTCTCAGTGTGTAAAACCTGGCCATTCCATCTCATTTGATCAGTGATGCCCTTTAGTTTCATAACAACGTCCACATGATCTCTTATTATGACAGCTCCTTGGGGCCTAAGTATACGATAAATTTCGAGGAGGATATCAAGGAAGTCGCACCTGCATATGACATGAGATAATTCAAGTTAGAATGATGATATGTTTCACTTACCTCTATTATGCTTTCATTTCTTTGGCCTTACCTCAGTGCTCATTCAAGTGCTCATACTCATAATTGAAGGAAATATCGAAACAAATAGGTAAAACCCAAGAAACTGGGGTTAAAAATATAGTTGGCTTTCTATGTATGGAAAGGTTTTCCAGGAATGGTGCACTTAGCTCCTGCTTCTTCCTGTCATGTTTTCAAACTTAGAACTTAATAGAAATGGATTCAAAAATTTCCCATATAACCCTCTTGCCAATTTCTCTTCCATACAAGATTTAAAGGCATTGAGACATATCATTCTTTTCTTGTCCAGCATTTAGCATCCATAATCCAAATTGAATACTTATGCTTCAGTATGGAACTACAATGATGGTGCATAGATCCAGGTATAAAATTAATTGCAGCACACTATTGGTGGACTTTGGACCAGAATATGACGTTTCTTGATAATGTTATCTTCTATTGTTTAGAAGGGGAACCAAAAAACAAGTGAGCAAAAGTCTTACTTGTCCATATACATACTGAATACACCATAGGCATGTACCAGATCATATGTGCGGGGGTATGTTGAGAAAGCTTCACACCTGCAAGCAAGCCATGGAAGTTGTAGTTTGCTTTTTTGTAACAGGAAAAGGAATTAACATGACTGGAGAGATATGTACTGAGCCTTCTCCGCAAATATCAGGAATTATGTAATAATTAGAGAAATAGAGAATCCAAATAACTGAGATTAAATGGTAGCACATGCATAATTAGAAACACCAGAATCACAGTTTTAATCATTAGACATCTATCACATTATACAATTACAAAGTCATGTAATAGGTAAGCAGAAATGAACATCTTACGAGTTCTGAAATAAATGGAAAGGAAAAGCAGTCTCTGAGAGTCTTACCAATTCATATAAGTTCCAATGAGACCACGTTCGTACACAACACCAAGGGTGTTTGTTTTGGCATCTGAAGGAATTGCATTCATAACCCAAACTGGATACTTATCCATTGCTGTAGCAAAACCACCCAATCCAGCATTCATATCCATGATATTTCTGTATTTACCATCAGAAAGAGACTTGAGTATAACCCCATAATAGGAAACTCTCCTTCTCCATAACTGATTATCTTCATTGAATGACTTAATGGAAATGCCTTCTTTAGTTCCACTTTTAACTCTGGGAGGAACAGCATTCAATCTTTTAGGCCAATTTTCAAGAGCACCTCCAGATACTTCACGGGTGTCTTTCACAATTGGAAGAGGGGTAATGCACAAATGCATCTGTTTGTACCTGTTGTACACTCAGAAAGAACAAATACACAGCAAGATCATCAGCTATATTGGAACTCCTACTAGAAGAGATAATTATCTACAGCCAAGCAGGGGGACAAAGCAATTAGTGATGCATATTGCATATTCCATTATCCCAAATTCCCAATATAATTCCTCATTTGAAGAAAATGTAATTGTCTGACGTTGCAAAAGCCAGAAAGTTATGTGGCATTGGATGTCAAGAAGCAAAGAAGAAATGAAATTACAGTTCATTTCGCTAGTCATAGATTCCCTCCTGATATTGGAGTTTTATAGTCTTGGTTGATTCTGTATATACATGAAACTGCATGCTTGAACTCTAATAGCTCAACTTATTAGGAAGTTCATGGGCTAGGAATATCATAAAAGTTGATTGCTGATAGCCAGGTCATGGTCCTTGCAAATAATTAAGGATTAACCGTAAAGTGGGATGAAGAAAACTCACCAGCCAGCATCAGGGTCAGGCGTAGTGCAAAATTGGGGTGATTTCCAAGTTTTAATCATTTGGGTGCAGTGCAAATGATTAGTAGGCTTTTGCCACACAGCAAATGGTCCCCTCTCTGCAATCTTTTTCCAGCACAGTCTCCTAGCAAGATCTTCCAACGTCATTTGCTCATTTTCCAAGTCCTTAGGCTCTCTCTGCCAGCCTTCGTAGTTAAACCTCCAATTTATAGGTGGCCCAGAAAGTACCCAGTAGCCTCCGGGACGCAAAACCCGGTCAATCTCCAGCAGATGAAGTCCTTCTAATCAATTTGATTTTGTATAAGAGAAAAAGGGTTATGAAAAGAAAACAGAAAGATAACAGAATCTTAGTAAGTCATACGTACAACATGGGCGTTTGGACACTGTAAACATTGGTAGGGATGAATCTAGAACTTTTGTCCAAGGAGGTATGGATGTTAAGTTGTTTAGTTTGACTCTCCATCCCATGATAAGCATCCACTTAGAAAAAGTTCATGAATTAAGAAAGCATCTTAAATGTTTGCATGCTAATATAAATTAGTTGTGTCTATGGAGTAATGTTTTCAGGTTCATTTTTTCCTTATTTGACAGAAGATTATACCGAAGCAAGGGTGAACTTCTTTGGGGCAGCAAAAGTTAACCTTCCATTTTTTATTGTGGAGACTAGAAAACTTCTTTGTGCATAACAGAATACAAAAGAGGACACTATTATGAGATGGATGGAGTGCAATTTTGTGGAAAACACAAAACCAAATTAGAGAAATGTAAATGCACTTATTTTGGTTCACTAAAAATATACTATTGGATTGCTGAACAGGCCATGCACTTACTACCAGTGGTTACCATTATGAACTGTGTGTCATTAGAAACTAGCTACAGGATTATGGGAATAACTTTGTGATTAGTGATATGATCCTCTTGTCTAATATCTAGGAAGATTGTAGAGTTTTGGCTTAGTAGAACTACGGGTAACACATGGTCACCATTTCCCCAACTGCATATCTACTATCCCTTATGCATTGGATTCTTGTTTGCTTCTCCTAGGAGATCAAAATATTTTCTATTCCCTACAGCCACAAAATGTATGCATGATTACCATATTGAGTCCATCGGACCAGACATCTGGAACAGTGAGCCATGTCAAAAGATCTTGATGGGAATGGAAGCCGATAGGTACTCAGAACACCCAGCATGGCTGGAATTCCTCTTTCTAAGGCAAACTGCACTTGAGCTTCATGTACATCTCTTGGTGCCATCGACAGTGTCAATATATTGAAGTCCATTAGAAAGGCTCCAAAGCTAGCAACCTGGGAAGAGTAGTAAGACCTAAGATTTTCCACCATGCAAAACTTACAATTCGATTCCCCATAATAAAATGTCCGCAAATTTCCAAGGTTGAGAAAGCCTTTGCTTCCGAGTCATTTTCAATTAGAGAAATAACAGGGAAATTCTCAAAACTTCTTGAATTGAATCAAATCTATAAAATGCTTCTATATAGGCACCAGCATGAACAATGTAAACTTCTTAATAAAATTGACTGCATTAGGAAAGATGATAAACTTATAGAGATAGAAAGGCTAATGAAAACAACACTAAAAAACCGTGACTACTTAGTGAGAAAAGGGGGAAAAGGGAGGAAGGGGCGGTGTGAGGAACAATGAGAATTTAACAAAGAAGGGTAAACAAGAGATGGCACAGGAAAGAAGTGTAGAAATGGGGTTTTGATATACACCAGGGAAGGATGAAATCATACAAAAACTCTCAAGTATATATGCCTATTTATAGACATACACTTATAGTAGAAAACACTGAAAATAAGGAAAAATAATTTCTAAATAATAGAATTTGGAAGATGCAAAATTAACTTTACAATCATCCAATTTTCACGATCAATCCCTGTGTGACACCCTATGCCAAGAGAATCAACAATCATACACACATAGCCACCATATTCTAGCTCCCCCCAACCCTCGCATGTCAGTTAGTTCCCAGGCTGATACAGATACTGCTCATTTAAGTCAACAAATAAAAACTCTCTGTTCGAAGTTTCTTTCACGCCCTCCCCCCACCAGGGCTTGGGATATTCTTCACTGTTATTACTATGACATTGTGTAGCAGTAGATGAAAATTAAACCATTCATAACTTCCTCGATGATCATCATACCGTGAAACAGGACAGATAAATCCAATCATCATAAATCAATACCCAACAACTAAATTTGTCCTTATACTCCTTATTTCAGCAACAGGATGTGCCTAAACCTTTTCTGTTGTTGGAAATAAAGCACAACAGTAATAATACAACTTTTGCAAAAGATGAGTTGTGAATGCCCATTTTGTCCCATTCCAGAGCAAGAAAGACTTGCATTTAGTAGAGTACCAATCTTGTTACCATGTTTTCTTTTAGAATTCAAATGAAAACAGAAACATTCTCGACTTCCTGTAGAATCAACACCGATGCTACAAAGAATAACAAGAGTGAAAAACAGAAGGAAACTAAAATACAGGTAAAATGGGGGTAAAAAAGGAGAAAGACACTTCCTACCACTAACCTTTCAAGATACTATTGGATTTGGCACAATGCAATAAAGCCTAACAAATTTAGAAAATTGAAGAAAAAAAATTGTGAATGATAAGAAAATTCCATATTGGATTCTTCAGTCATTACAAGCTTTTTTTTTTTTTTTAATAAAGCTTTCTTTTATTTTAAATTTGAAAAAAAAATATTTGAATTTTATTCTTTTAAGGGAGATGATGCATCAACAAATAAATCATGCTTTTTAAACTTATCCAGTAAAACATCAAACAGTTAAACTAAAAATTTTTTTTACTCTTTAACTCACCTTTTTCAACTACTACCACGTAATTATATTTAACACATAAAAGACTAATCAGATAAGATGAACAACAGACAAGTCGAAAGAAAAACGTTTTTGTATTACCCCACATCCAACATCAAGAACTGTCCTGATCTTCCCAGATTTCAACGGCAAAACTTTATTAATCTCCTCAATATAACCCTTCACTCCCTTTGGGAAAGAAGTACCACCGCCTGGAAACACCAGCTTATCACCTTCCAATCTAACCCAATTCTGTGCTTTCTTATACTGTGCCAGCCTCTTAAAAGGCACATTCTTGAACCAAGCAAAGTCCCTACTTTGAGGCCATGGAAATGGCTTTTTGTAACCTTTAGGCCTTGGTATCAAGCACCTAACTTTCTCATCACTTTCAGGGCAATGCCTTTCCCTGTGAGAGAATCTAAGAACACTGAACCTTCTTTCTCTATGTGGGTCATGGCAGGGTAAGTAGTTGGTGAAGTTAGCAGAGCAAAAGCTCAAGTTTTTGACGGGTTCTTGAGGAAGGGGAATTTTGTGGAGTGGTTCAAAGTTAAGAGGAGGTGAAAGTACGTTGTGGGTAGTGAAATTTAGCTGTAAACACTGAGGTAACTTATGGTCTTGTTTCTGAGGAAGAGTGACGGTGGAAGAGTTGCCGTAGGAGCCAAGTATATAAGAAAGTGAGCAGAAAATGGTTATTAGAAGGAGACTCAGTAAAGGTTTTTTGAAGGGATTTGGAGATGGTGCAAGTGATCGTTGTTGTTGCTGCTGTGGCGGCTTTGGTGTTGCCATTTTGGTCAGCTTTGGTGGAGATTGCAGAGAGGATTTAGTCTTTAGATTAGGCCAGTCGTGGCTGCTGATATTTTAATGTGGCAGATGGGCAGAGGTCCAAGAATGATGGTAAAATATCAAGCAATCGAAAATGTATCAGAATTAACTGACACTTTGGGACCACTCAGAGAACTGATGATAATACCGCAATCTTTTGATCAATGTAAATTTCAAGGGCTCCATAGGGCCATCGATCAGCATGTTTTTTGTCTTGGCTTCTTGCACGCTCTGTGTGGTAAAATTTGATTTGTCTTTGCTCAAATATCTTCATGTAGGGTGAGTATTAAATTATGCTTGTTGAAGTATATGATTTTTTAAATTAATTCGTATAAAGTCAAATTGAGGTCTTTTGAATGATAGTAATTTATATTCTATTTAGAAAACAAAGAAAAGAAAAAACCCAATAAAAGAACTTCTGTAAACACTTTCCTAAACCCCACCTCCATCTTAAACCCCGCACCAGAGCCCTTATTTCCAAAATCCAGATAGACACCAAAAACAGGCTAATGAGAAAAAGATGGCTCAGCCCTCTTATTTCTTACTCAAAATCACTTCTTTTTTCCGCTCGAAACCCCCAACTCCCTCGCCAAAACCTATTCTCCCCACTCACTCGATTCATTTCCTCCTCTTCCCATGACAATCTCGATGGCCTAATCGACCCAGATGACCCATTTTCGGTACAAAACAATCCACGGGTGGAGCCCCTTTCTGCCCAAGACTTTACCTTTTTAGGGGCTGGTTCAGGGCCTTCACAAGAAAAACTTAATGTCGGTAAGTTCTCAAACGATGCTATTTTAATTGCGAATGCCATTTGGAGTGATAGTGGAGAGTTTGGGGACAAAACCCAGATTTTTCTTAGGCAATTTAGAGAAAAATTGAATGAAAAGTTAGTTGTTGAAGTTTTGAACTTGGCAAAATTGAAACCTGAATTGGGTGTTAAGTTTTTTATATGGGCAGGGAGGCAAATTGGGTATAGTCATACTGCCCCTGTGTTTAATTCTTTGCTTGATTTATTAGAATCCGGTAATAGTGATCGTATTCCAGAGAAATTTTTGTGTGAAATTAGGAATGAAGACATGGAAGTGCTAAAAAGGTTGCTTAATTTAGTGATTCGAAAATATTGCAAAAATGGATTGTGGAATGTGGCATTAGAGGAATTAGGTAGGCTTAAGGATTTCGGCTACAAGCCATCTGGAGCTACTTACTGTGCATTGATTCAAGTTTTTTTGCAAGCTGATAGATTAGATACAGCTCATTTGGTTCATAGAGAGATGTCGGATGCAGGGTTCCGCATGGACAGGTATACACTAACATGTTATGCTTATTCCCTTTGTAGAGTGGGGCAATGGAGGGAGGTCCTTAGGTTGATTGAGAAGGAAGAATTCAAGCCTGATACTGTTGTTTATACGAAGATGATATCTGGGTTATGTGAAGCTTCACTTTTTGAAGAAGCTATGGACTTTTTGAATAGAATGCGTGCTAATTCTTGCATTCCTAATGTTGTAACATACAAGGTTTTGCTGTGTGGCTGTTTGAATAAGAGACAGCTTGGTAGGTGTAAGAGAATTCTTAGCATGATGATTACAGAAGGTTGTTATCCAAGTCCTAACATATTTAATTCTCTTGTTCATGCATATTGCAAATCAGGAGATTATTTTTATGCCTATAAATTGCTAAAGAAAATGGTCAAATGTGGGTGCCAACCAGGCTATGTGGTTTATAACATATTGATTGGTGGCATTTGCGTCAATGAGGAGTTACCCAGCTCAGATGTGCTAGAATTGGCTGAGAATGCTTATAGCGAAATGCTTGCTGCTGGAGTTGTACTAAATAAGATCAATGTTAGCAATTTGGCTAGGTGTCTTTGTAGCATTGGGAAATTTGAGAAAGCATGTAAAATTATCCATGAAATGATGAGTAAAGGTTTTATACCTGATACTAGTACATACTCCAAAGTGATTGCTCATCTGTGTAATGCCTCCAAAGTAGAAAATGCTTTTTTTTTGTTTGAAGAAATGAAAAAGAATGGTGTAATTCCTGATGTCTACACATACACGATTTTAATTGATAGTTTTTGTAAGGCTGGTCTTATAGAACAAGCTCGTAATTGGTTTGATGAGATGGTAGGGGTTGGTTGTGCCCCTAGTGTGGTGACTTACACTGCTCTAATACATGCTTACCTTAAAGCAAGGAAGGTGTCCAAGGCAGATGAACTCTTTGAGATGATGTTGTCTCAAGGTTGCATTCCGAATGTTGTTACATATACAGCTCTGATAGATGGTCATTGTAAAGCTGGACAGATTGAAAAAGGTTGTCAAATTTATGCCAGAATGCACACTAATGCGGAAATCCCAGATGTAGATTTATATTTTAAAGTGGTTGACAGTGATGCCAAAGCACCAAATGTTTTTACATATGGAGCTTTGGTGGATGGTTTGTGCAAGGCTCACAAGGTCAAAGAGGCCCGTGACTTGTTGGAAGCCATGTCCACTGTTGGTTGTAAGCCGAACCATGTTGTGTATGATGCTCTTATAGATGGATTTTGCAAGGCTGGGAAGTTAGACGAAGCACAGGAGGTGTTTTCCAAGATGTCTGAGCATGGTTATAGTCCAAATATTTATACATACAGCTCATTGATTGACAGGTTGTTTAAAGATAAACGACTGGACCTAGCTTTAAAAGTCTTGTCCAAAATGCTCGAAAATTCTTGTGCTCCTAATGTTGTTATTTATACAGAAATGATTGATGGCCTCTGTAAGGCTGGTAAAACGGACGAGGCCTATAAGCTTATGTTGATGATGGAAGAAAAGGGGTGCTATCCCAATGTGGTGACTTACACTGCAATGATAGATGGATTTGGCAAGTCAGGGAAAATCAACAAAAGCCTTGAGCTTCTAGAGCAAATGGGTTCCAAGGGTTGTGCTCCAAATTTCATCACATATGGCGTTTTGATAAAACATTGTTGTGCTGCTGGCCTATTGGATAAGGCTTATGAACTTTTGGAAGAGATGAAACAGACATACTGGCCTAGGCATATGGCAGGCTACCGTAAGGTCATTGAGGGTTTCAACAGAGAGTTCATAACATCTCTTGGGCTCTTAGATGAAATTGGTAAAAGTGAAAGTTTGCCAGTTATTCCTGTTTATAGAGTGCTTATTAATAATTTTTTAAAGGCTGGGAGGCTAGAGGTGGCTTTACAGCTTCATAACGAGATTGCATCATTTTCACCAATTTCTTCCGCATACAAGAGTACTTATGATGCCCTGATTGAGAGCCTTTCACTTGCTCATAAGGTTAACAAGGCTTTTGAGTTATATGCTGACATGATAAGGATGGGTGGAGTTCCAGAGCTAAGCACATTTATACACCTTATTAAGGGGCTCATCACAGTCAACAAGTGGGAAGAGGCACTTCAGCTTTCAGATAGCTTATGTCAGATGGTTTGTCTCTTTAACTCCTCTTTCTTTTACGTTAAAAATGTCATAAGGGCAAATATTACTTTTCAGCCACTGAAGTGCTAAGTTTCATTTTTGTGAGATAATCCTGGACTTAGTTACAGAATTATTTTAAGCAGAATTTGCTCTGCTTTCCAGCCCTTTTTTCTTTGTGTAAGAACACTTGTTATACTAGAAAATCAATCATAATACCTGTGCCTTTGGAAGTTTTTCCATGAAAATTTCTCATTGGCCCTACTCGAGAACTTAGGCACGTCCAATTATTGTATGCAATCTGACATTCTTTTTTTGTTTTGCAATTTTTATTTATTTATTTTTCCTTGGGTCTCTATGATTTCAAAATCTTCACTTGGGCAGGATATTCAATGGCTTCAAGAAAAAGAGAGACCTGATGCTGCATAGGCTTTTATGAACATTTGGTTTTCCAGTTTGCTTGATCTGATCACTTTAATGGCGATGGTCAAAGTTCTGCTTTGAGGTTGACTTAACTGGTTGAGGATTTGTTTTGCATGCATACAAAAGCAGAAGACAAGGCCAACAATGGCATGCTGAATAAACTGAGTTTACAGTCTCACAATGACCTCGGTCCATGGTTTGAAGTCACTTTGAATCAGAAGCAAGCCTTGCCCACATGCTGAGCTTTACCAAAATATCATGATTTGATTATTCAATCTAATATAGCCGGTATGGTATGACAGCGTACTTATTTGCATCACGTGGAACTGTACACTCTTCATGTTACTTACTGAATGTGATTCAGGGCATTGCCTTCAAGGCTTAGCACACACATCATCAGTCATTCGTTTTGTGTTTCTTATTATATTGCGCAACTTTTAGGTTTGTTCATATCCTTCTGCTAATATATACTAATATGGTAAATTCTGCAGCTCTGTCGAATTTGATCCTTGTTGGTCTGAAAGAACTGATTCTGGCTGCAACACTCTTTATTGATCACTCCATCACAAGAAGGTCAGCACTCAATCTCATTTTAGCTCTTTCTTAATCATTTACAGAAGTGAAATGAGAGATGCCAGCATGCACTATGCACTATCCTGATTTCCATGCTTGAAGACATAGGTTACCTCATTGAGGATTGGGTTTGGGTTTAATGTTTCATTCTGCTACTGCACATTCAAATAGGTTGTTGCTTTTGCAAATCTTGAAATTGTTTCGTGGAATGGGCAATAAAATTTCTTATTTATTTCAACTGCATTTCAACAGGACTTGTCTTGCATTTCTGATCATTTTCATTTCAAGCCTTTGTTACATGCTGTTTGAATCTGTAAGTAAAGGAACTTTTAAGGCTGAGCTGCTGTTCTTTAGAGTTTGTGCATCCACATTTGCTTTATCCTATTTCTTTTCCCAAAATTTTGGCCCATTGCTAACCTGACGGTTGTTGTATGTAACTTTTGTCATCTTTTATGCTATTTTTTTTCATTGAATAATCTCAGCAATGCTTATTTGAAGTGTGTTGAAGGACATTTCTGAATGTTTGCTTTCTTTGCAGTCTGGGATCTGCTCAACTGTCTCATCGAACATCATATTCTTCTTCATTGCGCTCATGAGTAATCTCTCTTCATGCCTTAATTCAGCAAAGCAACACATCTCGAGCACCATGTCACCAGCCCTTGTCAACTACCAATTGTACTTCAGGAACATAGTGCATTGCCTAGAACAAATTCAGAGGACTTATGAGACTGGAGGGCAGGCTTTTCCCCTATCATTTGATCAGGAACAGGGTGCAATTCTTAGTGCGTAGGTCCTTGGATTATCTGGAGTAAATCACCAATGTTGGCAAATCATGTTGTACTGGTAGTATTTGAACCGCAACACACAATAAACATAGCAGCCCAAGCAATTAGAACTTGACATTTCAATTTGGAGGTCTCGAGTTTGAATTCAGAATCAGAAGACGTTGCCTTCCATAGTTCCACTAGTAGTCCAAAACTACTTGTATTCCAAAAAATTAAAACAAAAAAAGAAAGAAAGAAAGAAAGAAGTGAGAAGACCTTCATACATGTATCTCCTCCTTAATCATCTTTTCCGATTTCCATTAATTGATATTAGAGTTTTTTTAAATTTTTATTGATGAATATTAGGGTCGAAGAAAGTCTATATTAAGTTAAATATTTTTTCATTATCAATCAATACAATAAACACGTTATATAAATGAATAAAGTGAAATGTTACGAATTTCATAATAATAAAAAATGAGATGAATTTTATGATATATATTTATTATGTATATATTTAAATATTTATAAATGAAGGAAAATACTTGAATTTCTTTTGTGTGGATTGCAAAAGGAAACTCGAAAGAAACAGAGAAATTGTCACTTCCATTATTTTTTTTTTCCAAAATTAGAAAGAGATTATATAACAGAATTTACGCAATTTACTGAATATATCTATAAATCCTTTCACAGACAGATAAATTTTTGTGCTCTTGTATTATATGAAAATAAGTTTCTATACGTCACCTTAAATGTAATTACATTTCCACGCAAACACACTAACCAAATATTTTGCCACACATATGATGACGTGGCCTCTTTTATGTATAACGCACTCTGTTGTACTCGACAGTCTTCTCTTTACCCATCTCTCCTTCCGTACTCTGTTCTAAGATTTCTTCAGAATTCAATTTCTTCTTGCAAAGGTACGGCCTTTTTCTTTTCATTTTTTGATTTTAATTCTAATTCTAATTCTAATTCATCCTTTGATTCCTTCCCCAAGTAGAAACACTGACCCTCTAAGTATTTTTCTTTTTACTTCTTAATTAATTTAGGGTTTCTTTACAGTCGGATTTTTTTTCCTTTTTTAGGGTTTTTAGAATTATAGATTGTTTAGTATATATCTGGAGTGATATTTATATACAACTGCATATAAAAATGCATAATTCAATGAGTAATCTGAAATTAAAGACATTTAAATGAAATTATGAATTTTGAAATTTAATTGTGTAGAACAGATGGAAAGCTCTGAATGTCTGTCATCTCTTACGTACAAAGGCTCAATTCCTGAAGCAATTCTTGAAGCTAAAAACCAGAAGAAACTTTTTGTGGTTTACATTTCAGGTAAGTTTTCTTCTTCATTTGATCTCGTTTTTCTTTTCCATACTAGTATATGCAAGCGCTTTTTATTAAATAAGTGTTAATTTAGGTGCTGTGATCGATAAACACTAATTTTGTTGTTTTATTGTTTATAGTTTATGATTAATAATTTTGTTATTAAAAAAAAATTCCAGGTGATGATGCTGAGTCAAAAAACCTGGAGGATTCAACATGGACTGACCTAAAAGTATTTCTTTTATTAATGCTTTTAATTTTAAAGTTTTTTCACCACAAATAGATTTGGCTCTTCTGATGTTGTTCCCTGTATTTTAACATGGTTGATTCAGGTGAAAGAGTCATTGTCAAAGTATTGCATTCTATTGCATATCCAAGGAGGAAGCACTGACGCTGCAAATTTTTCTGCCATATGTATCCTGAGTACAAATTATATTATTCTCTTATAGTTACTCTAGAATCTACATTCTAGGAGTTTTGGCCTTTCCATATAGATGTTAAGGGGATTTTTTAACTATGGCACCAAGGAATAATTCTGATAGTTAACAGGTTGGCTCTCTTTGGTTGTTCTTGGTAGAAAAGAACAGTTGGAAGGTGAAAAGTAATGGGTGGAAAAAGGGAAAGAAGGCATTTTTGTACCTTTTGATGTATTTTTCTAATTGTCCTACCCAGCACAATTGTTTCTGTGTTTCCTTTGATTTTTCTATCTTTCCAAACTTTATGTCACTGCACTTCCCATAGCATTTCCTACTAATACAGTACATTCACTTCCGCCAAAAAATAGGGGGGAAACCATGATACTTCATTCCATTGTATATAGAACCTGTAGCTGTTATTTGATATGAGGTTGAGTTCCCATGTGTACCATTTCAATGACCACTATAATGTGCATGCTAAATTACACCTTTTTGAGTTGGCTTTTCGTGTTTACCATTGTAAGTATCCGTTATCAGTTTCAAACGAGAGAACAAATCCTTGCATCAACATAATACAGACCCGCAGAAATCTGTCCCTTGCATAACAGCTATTGGATACAATGGTGTCCAAGTTTGGCAAAGTGGTACTGGAATTTTCTTCTTAGTTAAACTTTTTTCTTTTTCTTCTTTTAGGAGAAAGCATGTAATGTGTACGGAAAGTTGTTCTAAATAGTCAATTTTTTTCTTTTGGTGGAACTCTTCCAGAAGGGTCTGTCAGTGCTGAAGTTCTGGCATCCAGTTTAGAGAAGGCATGGCTGAGTCTTCATATCCAGGTATGCTGGTGATATTTGAATTTAGGACTATTATCCAGCTAGTAAAGATATGGCCGATGCTCATTTACCACATTCAGTTGATAATTTTGGATTTCTTAACATTCTTATTTTTGTCTGGTTAAAATTGCAGGAAACAACTGTAACAGTCCTAACTGCTGCGCTTGCTTCAAAGAAATATGAAACATCTACTTCTGGGCCTTCTACGGTTAGGCAGTCTGAGCAAGGAAGTTCTTCAAGTAATTCTCTTCCATCAAGCACAATGAACGAGAGGTCCTTGGAGTCTAAATCTGCAGTTAGTTCTGGGGTGATAGACGAAAATTGTGTTAGTGAAAACACAGTTAAGGTAAATTTTAATGCTGGCTGCCTTGATAAGTATTTCTAAATTTTTTTGGACCATGGGAGTTTCAGGGGAGGGAGGGCACTTGGACTTGAACCTAGGCTGTGGTGCCAAATCAAAGAGCTTGTTACCTTCAGGTCAAAAGGCAAGTACTTCAGAAGTTTAAAAACTTTGCCTGATGTAGGCTATTTTTTAATTACATTGCAGGAGAAAATTGCTGAATCAGTTGACAAGGGTAGTTCAGAATCATTTAGCACTGACAACTTAGCTAATGTTGTGGATGAACAAGGTGATGCTTCCAATGAAGCAACCAGAACAATGGTTAGTTCTATCACAGTAGGTCCAGCAGTTTCTGTATCTGAGAATACATCCTCTCCTCCTGAAGATGGTTGTCTCATTCCATTAAAGGGCATCAATCATCAGGCAAGTGTAAGTTCACCAGTGAGTGCAGCAGGAGCAGAGGAAGCTGTGCAACATGAAAAGGACAAAAGCATAAATGAAAAGGAAGATGGTGGGTCAGATAATCCTTCAACTGCGAATACACCAACTGATGTTCATCTAAATATCCGATTACTTGATGGTAGTAGCCTACGAGAGAAGTTTCCCATGGCAGACACTCTAAGAATGGTTAAAGACTATGTGGATAGAAACCAATCAAGTGGCATGGGCTCTTATGATCTCGCCATTCCTTATCCTCGCAAGTTATTTGGTGACCAAGGTAGTGCAGATGTTTTAGACTTGGCAGGAAGTGTTGTTAACTTCTAACATTGCATTGCCTTCCCATATTAGTAGTGTTCCCTGTCTTTACAGTTTTGCTTATGAAAGTGCTGTAGGTTGATAAAGGAGTGTCACATCTGAAATGTCTTCCATTCACCGCTATTGCTTTCCTCTTTGTCCACAGATTTGAGTAAATCTCTATTGGACTTGGGTCTGCTCAACAGACAAGCATTAGTTGTGGTTCCGCGTCAGAGAACCACTGGTTTCCAGGGGCAAAGAACATCTGCTGACCAAATAAATTCTACGCCTACTGAAGCCTCTACAGGAAGCAACGGGGGATATTTTGCATACATCAAAAGCTTTTTGTCTTATGTAAATCCTTTTTCTTATCTTGGCGGTGGTGCCAGCTCCTCAACTACTGAACAGGAATCTCAAAGTGGCATTTGGGAATACAGTGAGTCTCTGTGCTGTTGATACCAATTTGTTTATTCTGTGGGCCTAAGACCTTGGTCTAAAATGGTTATTCTATGACCACATTTTATATCTTCTAAACTTATTTAAGCTAATTTTACACATGTGCATTATACATAGTCACACACACATACCTTGTTTATGTGTGTATAGAGAGAGAGAACAAGTATATATATACAATAGTGAAGGAACAAGCAATTTATCTGGAACATAGATCTATTTGGTTCATGGAACAGGGACTAGAACATAGAATGCCACCTATTAGGTAGGTACTATAATGGGTTATTTCTCTCTTTCATTATTTTGAGTAGATTCATTTTTAATTTTATATTAATTAGGATTTTGATAAATTTAGTTGTAGTCTTGATAAGCTAGTGAGCCAAGTCTGTAACACAAGCATTCCTAGGTACAATTCGTCTTTTTTGCATCTTGATTGGACTAATTGTATATCTGTTACAGATCATGAATGTTTCAAAACTGGGATCGGGTGATCCAGTACGAAATTCTTAGGGTCAGAGTGAATTCTTGTAGCATAAATATCATTCGTTTTGTTTTTCTTATTTGCAAGAAAATTATGTTAGAAATTTGTTAAATCAAGTAGGGCCCTACTGGAATATTGTCTTGGCTTCTCATTCATTATGGCTTGGTTGAAATTGTAGGCCCAAATCCCACTCTGCAGAATAACTTGGCTGGAACAAATAGGTCCTATTCACCCTACTCACCAAACAGAAGCACTTCAACCGTCAGGGATGACAGCAGTAACAGACGACCCACAACCTCCAGATATGGCAGCAATATTCACACACTAAAACATGATGAAGATGATGGCCGTTTCAATGATAGAAATCCCTTCTGGAATGGAAATTCTACCCAGTATGGAGGTAATAGTGATGGCAAATAATCAGGGTCAGCTAGGTTTTTCTAGCAAGGTTCAGCGCCTCCCTGAAATTAAAGTCAAAACCATGATTCGTGCTTTTTATTACATGTATCTATGATGCCAAGTATGATCCCTTAATAGAATTTGATTGTATGTGAATAACTCCTGATTCATGGTGCATAGATTCGCCATCTGATAACTGGTTTTCTGCTTGTTCATACAGAAGGTATATCCAACAATAAATTCACACTTGGCAGCTCATTTTCAACTAATTCCTGTACATATTTGCCTTAATGCCATGTCAAGATGCTAGTTGATTAAATTTTTTTTTTTTTCACTTCTTTATGGAATGATAAAAACCAAAGAGGCAGCTTCTTTTATGATTGACCCC